GCACACCGCAGACCTGTATGACAGATTGTATATTGTCGTTGTGCAACAGGGAGCCACATTGTTGGGTCCATATGCAACAGGCGTAGCCCATAGTCACATATGCTGCATAGTGATCTAGATATTTTATGGACTACATACTTTGAAATTTGAATTTTATGCAATTTAGAATTTAAATTTTATGTCCTTTGAAATATTATTTTTACATTGATATCATTTAATAGTTTATAAAAATTATTATATAAAAATATTAACAAATTTAATTAAAATTATTATTATTTTTTTACTTTGGTAAGAGATTAAAAGAAATTATACAATTTAAGTGTATACATGGATCATAATTCAAACTCCAAAAATATACCTAAGGCAGGATATGTTTTTAACTAAGAAAATCTATTATAATTAACTTCTGTACTTGTATTTGAAATTAGTTTTAATTGACCTTTATGTAATTCAAATCAAGATATTTGTGTAAAATTTTTTATTTCGATACATATACGTTAATATTCAATTATTTTTATTTTATTTAAGTAAAAAACCCATAAAAAATTGAGTGCACTATGGTTTTCTTTGTATCAGCGTGGGACATTGTACAGTGGCCACAGCAAATTCGTTAGTTGCCAGAATTACCCACAGGTTAATCAAATAACTACTCTTTCAAAACGTGTTGTTTAATTGTACACAATAAACATTTATGAATGATAAATTTTTATTATATTAATAATAATAAACATTATAATTCTTAATTAAAAAACATTACTTATTAGTTTTTATTGTATATACTTCCACACATTAAACATTTAGATAAAAATAACTATCCAAGGAGGAAACGTAACGTCACCCAAGTGAGTTTATAACTTAAAGAACGGTTTAAGTGGGACAAACTTGAGAGATTCTACTACACTCCAACGTAAGTTTCCACCAGCATAGATGCTCTTTTTCTTTTTACCTTATGTGAAGGGTCATTATTGTTTTAAACCAGTTTTGCGTATTTAAACATAGCTCTTCATTATTATTATTTAAAAAATATATGTGGACCGATGTTTGAAAAAATAATTCCAATTTTATTTTTTGTTATAAAATATGAACAAAGTTTTGTAACCCAAGAGATCTGAGAAACGATTATGAGACCAAGACAACAAGCACTTCCACTCAGATTCTACTGAGAAAATGATCTAACAGAAGAGAGACGATCATAATAATAACAAAATCACAAAGAAGGAAGAGAAGGGGGAAAATGTGCATAAAAATTACGATGGCAATGACAATAGAGGGAGAGAGAAGGGTGAAGAAGCTGTGCAGTGTGCATTTATGAAAAAAATTAAAATGATCATTGAATATGATATTTTTTTTATTTTTTTATTTTTGGGGTCAAATATGGTAGAACTTATTGTACCTGGTATTTTTGTTTTTGTCAATCGTACCTGGTATCTCCATATAGATCTATGAAGAATTAGTCCTACCTGAAAAGATAGCCCAGTTGGCCCAGAAAAAACATAAGCCAAATGGGCTTTGACTTTTAAAAAATAGATATCTTTACTTTATTGTAAGCTGACTTGCTTATTTGTACATAAAAAATAATTTTAAAATTTCATTCGGCTTTGTTAAAAATAGATAAATTATTTTTTATTTTATTTTATTATATTTATTATTTTAGAAGATTGCTAAAAAAATTTTAGTGTTTAATTTTTTACTGTATGTATGACATATTGTTGAATACTTTTGATGTTTAATATCATTTAATTGTAAACATCGTTAGTCTTTTTAAATTTATAAATATTTAAAATAAATAAAAAATTATATATTTAATTTTATAAAATATTTTTATATTTTTTCTTTTATTTTGATTTTTTTACTTACTTTGTTTGTTACATGCTTACATAATTTAAAAAAAAAAACACATTTAAAATAATTCCATAGAAAATTAATTTAGAAAGATCAAATGAAATTGTTTTTATATTTAGATTAACTAACAACTAAATAAAAAACAACAATTAATGGGTAAAGTTAAGAGAAGAGTGGTGTTATAGTTAAAAAATAATAATAGAAAAATGTTTAGCTTGCAATAACATTTTAGGCAAAACTTAAAGTAAGCTTGCTAGGTTCGACCAAAGAAAGAAAAGTAATTGGTAGCAGAAGGTTACCTGTAAAAGCATCTTTTACAAAGGAGCGTGATCGAAAAGGCTCAGGCAACTGGCTCACTCACTAAGGGTTGAAATTAAGTAATTAAAGTTAAAAAATATTGATCATATTTATAATGTAAAAGGATAACTAGTGTTTTATTCTTTGATAAAAAATAATAATTAAGTAATTAAGAGAATTGATTGATTAGTTAAACAATAATAGGGCATGACTCTATTTATAATTATTAACGTAAGAGAAGTAAAGTAGTACTGCGAGACTTAAACAAGTGATAAAATCCATGTTTGATTCATCGAATATAGACATTTAATTGAGGTTCATTGAACCTGGTCTCATCTAAGCATGCCAAAACCGCATTGCTTGCTATGTTCTAAAGAACTCCCTAACGCTAACAACCACAACAGCGTCCAATTTCCACATCCAACTTAAGATGGTTATTTTTTTTGGGTTCTATTCGTTGTGTTCCATAAAACCGCAGAAAAGTGTAAGCAATGCCAATTTTTCGCTGCTGAGAGTAACGATGACGACAGTCAACCCACACTTTATTTCTCCTCGTGGGTCAGAATGAGACAACAAGATCCACCCCTTCTATTTTTATTTTTTTATTTAGATGAGTAAAAATAAATAATTTGGGGATATAAAAAATAATTTTAAAAAAACTTGAAAATATATTTTTATTATATATATTTTATGTCAATATAAAATTATTTGTAATTATTTATTGTAATTTGCTATAAAATAATAATTTTACATTTTAAACACTTAAATTAAAATAAAAATCCTGCATCTCTCCTCCAGCTGCATTTCTTGCCTCTTATGGAAGTTTTTTTTTTTTTTTTAGTTAATCTCACTTTTCATTTTCATTCTTTTTATTTATCCAAAGAATAAACAAAATTCATTAAAGAAATATTATTTTCTCATTAGAAACGTCTATAGTTCTCACCTCTAAGTTACCAATAAGAACAATATATTGTTTTTTAAAACTAAATTTTGGCCATTTTTCAATCTCCAATGTGCTCGCAATAAAATCAATATGACTTATAAAAGACTAAATTAAAAAATAGTTATTGCACGTTAATTTAAGAAATATTCTTTTGTCATTAAAAACATCCCTCTTGACGAAATGCAAATTAACAAAAGAGGATTTACATGTAAAAAATATTGATTCTTTTTAAATTTGAAATAACAATCAATTATTTGAATTATTTTGTAATGAATTATTATTTATGTTAATTAAACTTTCATTACATATAAATTATGAATATTAATTTTATGTGGTAATTACCACAACATAATAAGTCAAAGGCTTATTTATAATTTTGTTTTATTTAATTAAAATTATATACAACTTTAAGTATTTTATTAAACTTTCTAGAGATGATTCAATTTCTCATATTTTAAAATTGAGAAATGTGGTCTCTTTGTTTATTATATTTTGTCTATAACTTTTAAAATTTTATTTTATAATAAAAATATTTATAAATTAAATTAATTAAATTATTTTCAACATTATTGACTTTTAACTCATAAATCAAAACATTGGTCAAAATAAATTCCACCAAAACTTATTAAAACTCTACTAAATTTTTATCTTATAAATATTTTATATTATAAATCTATCATAATGAAAGCCCCTTAATATTTGGGAAAAAATAATTTAAAATTTTTAAGTATAACAAAATTAAAAAGATACCAATTTTTTTTTAAAAAAATTAACAATACTTAATTTAATTAAAAGACTATAAAAATAAAAATTACACATGTTCTAAATTAAAGAAAAAAAAAACACAGTTAAGTCTAAAATAAAGTAAATACTCCTCTACATATATTTTGGTAACGATTGCATAATTAATTGTATCAATATTTAATACGTCTTGTACTCTAATTCAGAAATAGACTTTTATCTATTTGATGTGCATAAAAATAAAATAGACATAAGAGTTAAATATGCATATTAAAAAAACTTTAATATTTTTATTTAGATTTATTGAACTTTTCATAAAATATAAAATTGATCAATTCAAACGTTGAATTATTTTATAATTATGTATACATTTTATATAATTTAAAATTGTGTAAGTTTATTATTAAAAAATTAATACTTATTTATATTTTAAAAATTAATTATTACTTAATTTTTTATATGAAACTTTATAAAATTAATTTACTTATAAGAATTTTTAAATTAAGTATTTAAATTTAAGATTCAGTGAATCTGTCATTGTGTACTATGATTTATGCTGTTATGCATGGTAAATAAGGTAGAAGAAACGGAAATTATAGAATTAAGAAAGAAAAGACAGAACGAAAAGGGAATTTTATTTTGCTGTAATTAATAACGATGATGACCTAAGATATTCAACATGATAAGTTTTATGTTACTATTTTGTGTGTAAATTAATCAACTCCTAAGTTATGACTGCGCTTAATCTCCTGTAATATGAAGGTGAATGCCAATGTTCATTCCGTGGAGCAACATTGACACTGAACCTGGACGCTTTCGGAGGCTAGGTTCACCAAACCACACTAATAATAGGTCCACATTCATGTTCAAATTTACGACTAAAAAATCCTCCACCGTTCACAGTTCGACAAGTCAATCATGATTATCATGCACTGTATTCGACACTATGTATAAATATGACGCCATTTTCCTCTAACCCCATCTTCCTCTCATTCAATTTTCTCACTCACGCATTCATGTTGACACCATATCAACATTTCAACGACATTTGCAACATATGAATGTAGCGCCACCCATCGTTACTTTCCCTAGCTATATATATGCAAGCACCTTTGAAAATTACATGTTTATAGTCCTAATTAAGGTATAAGAGAGAAAGGGGTGCATGCTTTTAGATATGACAAGGATTCCGGTGAGGTTTCAGAGGGTGGCGGCGGCGTTTGATGCTGACGTGGCACGTGTGAGGCTTTGCGAGAGTAGCGGGAGCGAGCACTCCCCGGAGAGTTTAACGGATTTGTCTGATCTCGTGAAGTCCTTCATGGAGAAGAACGAGACAATTGGAGAAGAAGTGGGGGGTGTAGTTCGTTGTGACGAAGACTATGAAAAGGGTGATGATCAAGAGGAGCTTGAAAAATCTGAGTTTTCTGATTCTGAGACGAGGGAAATGTTGAAGGGTTTGTTTTGTGGGAATGAAGATGATGAAAAGGATGTGAAAGAAAAAATTAGGAGAGAGGTTGAAGTTGCGTGTGGACTTGTTGGGGACAATTCGTTGCCCGAATTCAAACGCCGGTTGATGTCTCGGTTGAGGGAGAAAGCTTTTGATGCCGGTGAGTAATAATTGCATACATGCTACTAACATTATGGTTCTTATAATTTGGTTTGTTATGGTATTTACCACATTAATGTTTAGCTCTTATTTCTTGTTTAGCTACAAACTATGACAACTAACTTGATTCAATTCGTCACTTCGATCAATTTGTCACAGTTGAAAATGGTAGTTTACGAAGTAGATTCTTCCATCAAGGATCTATTTAGGACTAATTATAGACAATTTATGATAATAGTTTATGATTTTTATAAGTTTATATATATAATTTTTAAAATTATTATAAACACACGTTAAATTAATTACCCTACTTTATCATATCTAGAAGTCTAAATCATATCCATATCAATGTGTCCCAATAAGGGAACACAACATATTTTTATTCTATTCAATTATTTTCCAAATAGGATCCGCAATATCTATAGGACCGCCATATCTATAAGGTAGATGTATAGTAAAAGAAATGATAAACCAATATGTATTGATTATTGAATTGATCACTAGGTTATGGAACTTAATTTGATGAAATATATATCCTCTCTGCGCAGGGCTTTGCAAATCGAAGTGGGAGAAAAACGGAAGATTAACAGCTGGTGACTATGAGTACATTGATGTGAATTTTTCGGGAAAACGCTACATTGTTGAAGTTTCCCTTGCTGCGGAGTTCGAAATAGCTCGTCCCACAAATCAATATTCTTCCTTGCTAGACATTTTTCCATTGATATTTGTTGGTAAAGTAGAAGAGCTAAAGCAAGTTGTGAGGCTAATGAGCACTGCTATTAAAGGCTCTATGAAAAGAATGAACCTACACATACCTCCTTGGAGGAGAAATGTGTACATGCAAGCCAAATGGTTTAGTGCTTACAAGAGAACAACTAATGCGATTACAACTAGAAAGGCATCATCACCTTTGTCTTCTAAAAGGTCCATTGGATTTGAAGTACGACCTGTGAAAGCATGTTCTTGCAAGAATGATTATGTGAGCAACACTGGGTTCAGAATCAGCCAATTGACCACTGTATTTAATTCTGATAACTTGGGTGTGTAATTTTATAGCTATATTAATTCTATTTGTATATAAGTGCTTTTCTTGGTGGTTGGAGTTGATTTGTGATTGTGACAAGTGTTTTTAGCCTACAGCACATGAAGTGAATGCTAGAGAACAAATGTCTCTGATGCACAGCTCTAGTATAATTTTGTCTTACGGGTAGATAAAAGTAGCAGTAAGCAAGATTCATTGCTAGCATTTATTTTATTTATTTGTTATGATAAGTTTTACAAAAAAACGTTTTACTATATAGAATAATTTTCTTGGGAAATGGCTATGGAGGCTTCGAAATTAAGCACATTGATCTGAATGATAGAGCAGCTGAAAGATAATTGCATAGACACTTATTATGGCTCTGACTCTATCTTGCTATTACTAGTGGTCCCCCAAATTGATTTGTCTAAGCGCCAAGGAGTGGCACACCATGAAGAATAAAAGCATCTTGTGGACAATTTATTCGCCAAAAGTTATATTATAACATAAATTATTCAATAAAAAAAAGTTCTCTTTAATTTCACTTTACCATTTTTAGATATAACAAGAAAGTCTCAAACACCTCCAACTTGGCATTTAATGGCATCGTTCATTTATTAAATACTTTTTTTTTTGTTTTTTCATAGGAATTAAGAAAATCATTAATATTTTAAATATTATTAGAAATTATTATTTACTTTTTTCTATATACTTTATTTATTCATAAATAATATTACATTTATCAATTTTTTAACATATGCAATATTACATAGGTTAAAAGTTGTATATAATAATTTTTATTAAAAGTTATAAAATTCAATGTAATTTAAATATATTAATAGTATTAAATACTACAATTTTCTCTAAAAACTTATTATATATAACTTTTTATCTTATACAATATTGCATAAATTAAAAAAATTGCTTATTTATTACTTTTTTTATTTTATCTGTTATCATATTTTTAAATAAATTTTTTTATTTCTTATTTTAGAAGTTCAAGAAATATTTTTATTATACCCTTATTTTTTACAAACAAATAAATAAAAGCATTTAATAAAAAAATTTATTCTTAAATTGTGTAAAATTTTTTCAAGGAGGAAAGAATGAAATTGAAAAGAAGTGAGAAACATCTCTTGTGAATGTAATGGAAATTGGAATCATTTATTTTACCTCAAAACAAAATTCCCTTCGTTTTCGAGATATAATGAATAGGAAAAAAGGAAGAGAGGAATACGTACTTAAATGAGTTATTATTATTTTTTCTTATTTTTTTAAATTTTAAAATAATAATAAAAATTTAAAAATAAGAAAAAGATTAAAATTAGAAATTTTAAGATAATCTAAATTTATAATATTTTTAATACAATTTAATTATGTTTTTGCTCTCTTTTTTTTATTCGTTTAAACAAATATTTATTTTATCATTTCTTTTATTTATTTCAACTCATTTAAATGTCAAATATTTTTATTTTTTATCTTCTTTTTTTTCTGTCCTTGTCCTCTTTCATCTAAAGAGATTTAAAACCTTTTCATTGACTTCAGGTTGTCTTAAAAATTCTTTTGCACTTGAAAATATTGTTGGTCATTCATTATTGTTGTATAATATCTAAGATAATTCTTAAATTTTTTTAGTTCTTTACCGTAATATTAGAATTATTCATTACTAAACTTTATGCCATATTGACATTTAATCTCATATCAAATAGATAATTAAATAAATTTAACAAAGATTAATACAAATAACTAACATGACTTAATCTATAATAATTTGAAATACTAATACTTTTTATAAAATCAAAAGCTAAAAGAGTATCAACAATTTTAAAGATTAAATCTTTTAGAAAAATTTAAAAGAGATAATAAATTTTTAATTATTTTAAGAAATAATTTTTTATAATTTCAAAAATTAAATTAACAAATAAATGCTTACAATTTCTTAAACTAAAATATAGCTATGTATAAAAAGCATTATAGTAAATTACTTTTTCTTTTCATTGCTTCCCACACAAATATCTCCCCTCCGATTCGGTTAAGCATGATCAGATAAAAATCCATTTTTGTTGAAACCCATTTTAAAGACTGAAACATCACTTTGACTCCCTTCCTCATCGTTAAAATAATCATTTTCTTATCTTATTGCAGGCCCTCTGTAAGAAAGGGTCAGATAAAGATAATCAGGATGAAAAAGATAATAATCATTTTACTCAAAATAATATTAATTTCTGTCCTGTCATCTCATTCCTTTCTAATTTTATATGTTTTAGAAATATATATTTAATTATTTATATATTTTCTATAAATTTTAATAAATTAATTAAAATTTAATTTAATAAATATAAATTATTATTATTTTCATGACATAATTTTTTATGCAAATATTGGATATGATAAAAAAAACTGTGATTCTTTTATTCTATACAGATTTTATCAATAGAATGATTCACACACAACACAGATTTTATCAAAGAAAAAAATTAGAACAGAGAGAGAGAAAAGAATGATCAACATGTAGGCACCCATAGACGCAAACTGCTGGAAAAACAAAGCAGGTTGCCTGGAAAGTGACCCTTTTGAGAAATAAAAGTGTTCAATGTAAGAAAAGGGTCTTCGGAAAAAGGCCAAAATCTTAGGCACATCTTCCTCTTCTCCCATTCTCCTCACAAACCCAAAAGGGTCACACAGACACAAAAAAAGAGAGAACTTTGAGAAAAGAAAGGAAATGTGAGAAGCTCGGTAAGCAGATTTGTTGACAGAGACCGAAAATGAATCTCACAACAACCGGCCAGTTAGCTTCTCTAATCTGTTTGATTTGGCTACAGCCGCTATGGCACATTCAAGATCAAGGGTATTGGGCTTTAATCTCCCACCCTCCCCTTGGTACATGTAGCCTCTCATCAACGATATTCAAATCAACTTAACTCAATAACCAATATTATGAGTACACAAATGAAAGGGTTAGAAGAATAAGAAGATTGATGATACAAGAAATTTTACTTTCGAACTCAGATTTAACCCTAACCCTAGAAGCCAATTGAGAGCAAACGCTGATAACTCCGTATTTATAGCCACAGTGCAGCTCTGCGCTGACGAATGATCGTGGCCGTTCGCTTTCGATCAATCTGATGGATACGAATGGAGCAGAATAAATAGATTTTAATGAAATTGTAAATTTGCCCTCCAATTAGGGGCCCACCGATTAACTCAATTTAATCCGCAAAAGTTAATGGGTCAAGTCGGATAATCGGATTTTACCAGTACACACGATCATTTACAGATTGAATATCCGGTCTAATTTTTTCTTTTTTTCAATCCGATTAATTCAACCCAGTCGATTACACATAAACAAATAAAAAATTTAATTTTTTTATTTTAATATTTTCATTTATAATTGTAAATATATGTTTTTATAAAAAATTATTATTCAAACAATATTTTATATATAAATATTGATAAATTAATTTAATTTAATAATTATTATATTTTAAAAATTATGGAATTTTTTTTTATGTAAATATCCAATTACTCGATTCAAACCAACCAGTTCAATGATTGGGTTTCGTTAATTTATGTCACGTATAAAAACAAAAATTAAACATAACTCATATTTATTGTATTTTAATTTAGTTGGATAATTTTTCTGATCAAACCTATCGCAACTTGTGAATACTCCTACTTCCAATGTAAACGTGGCCTCAAAATGTATTAGCTTTGTTCATATTTAAAATACTTATAGAAGTATTTTATTTTTATAATTTTAATGATTTTTATTTTATATTATAATTAATAGTATTTTATCAAAATAATAAAGTAATTTATATTTTGTCATGTGTATTTTTTAACATTGAAATTGTTTGAAAATAATGTGTCTTGTTGCAATAATTTTACCCTTTATTTCATTTTTATTAATTTTGTTCTAAAATTTACAGAAAAAAAAAGTTATTACTCAATCTTTTTTATTACCTTATATCAGATTTTAGATTTCTCGTAAATCTCCATGTTTATAAATATAATTTTTTATCATTTTATATAAATTTTAAATTTTTTCTAAATATTTTTATTTATATAAAATTTAAAATACTTAATATAATTTTTTTATCATCTTAAAATAAAAATATATATTTATTGTAAAATAAATTACTTATTCACGTTTTGACTTACTAACTAGTTATTTAGAAAAAAAATTAGTTTTGTACTATTTTAAAGTTAATTTCGTTAATTACAAAATTAAAAGTAAGAAATGAAATATTATCTGAACAAAACTAATTTTGAATAAGACAAAACATATGCACGATTGTTTTAAGTGGTGTTATGTCATTTATTAATCAAATTTAAAATTTTACTTTGACAAACTATAATAATATTAAATATAAGTAATTTATGAAAACAAATTTAATTATAAATGATCAAATAATATTAATAGGATTTACCAAATATGCTACCTGCGATTCTTTTGTAAGATACAATTATCAATATTTTTTTGTCATAAATATAAAAAACAAATTTTTTCTAGACGTGTTAAATATTATCTTTATATATTTATTTATTATAAATTTTGTATTGACAATGTAGTCATGAAAATTTATTCATTTAATATACAATATATTAAAATCACCATTTAGTAGTAATGGTATTTATAGATTAAAGTATAAATCAATGACATGTAACTATTTTTTTATTGTTCTTAATAAAAAAATATACTTGTTTTTTTTTATAAATAAGATGAAAGATGGCAATACTTAGTTTTTTAACATCAATATAAATAAAATAAATTAAACAAATTCTCCCAATAACTGTATAATCATGTACAAAAAAAAAGTATGGAGTTATTAATTTTACAAACATTAAAATATTATCCTTAAGTTCGTTATTTTTAAGTTTTTGTTTTTATTTTTTTATACTATTTAGTCATTTACTATTTCAGACAAAATTTAGTTTATGCAATAATTAATGAAATAACTAACAATGAATTCTATCATTATTGTCATTAGTTAAAAAACCCTCTTATTCATTTATTTTCTTTGTTATTCTTTATCATTTTTTAGGTTGCAGATCAAATAAGTTAAGCTAAGATAGTCATTTCAACAAAAATTGAATATAGTTTTTTTGTTAGTTCACTCTTAATTGACTTGTGCTTTGAATTCGATAAATTTTGTGTTGGTAAATGCATGAGTAATTTGTTGCAAGTTAAGTCTTCAACATAATAAGCATATGACACAAAAGTTATTATTCTGTTTTTTTTTTAGGGTTGCAAATCAAATGAGTTAAGTTAGATTTAGATTAATTGTTAACTCAACAAAAATTGAATATAATAATTTTTTTTAGTCCACTCTTAATTGATATATGGTTTGAGTTAGTCAAATTTTGTGTTGGTAAATGCATGACCAACTTGTTGCGGTTAAGCTTTCAACATTTTAAGCATCGTTATATATGACACAAAAATTGTGAACTTGCATTGGAGGCTAAACATTTTGTTTCACGCGGTTAGTGGGTGTATTTAGAATTTCAATGGTGAACAAATAAACAAAAGAAAATGATGAAATCAAATGGCTCTATTGCATCATTACTAGGTATGAAAGATAGCTTTTACCTTTTTGACTTGGTTAATAAATTTATAGGGTTATTTCATAAATATAAAATAAAAATAATATTTTACTTTCAAAAGTTAGTTATTAATATTTCTATTGTATTTTTATTTTTTACTAAAAAAATAAATTACCCGTTTTATAATTAAAACTCAATTTACATACTTTAATTTCATTGTTCTTTTATCTCTTTCCATTCAAAATAGATTCGTTCACTATTCCTTTCTCTAATTTCTTTAATTTACCACATTGTCTCTTTTATCTAAATACATTTTACATTAAAAAAAGTATATAACTTATAATATTTTATGTTCAAATATATATTAATAATTTTTTCATATAATTAATTAATTATTTGTGAATAAATAAAAATGATAATTAATTTTAACATTACATTATCATAATATTACATGTCCTTTTAAGTTATTCAATACAAATTAACTAGTATAACTAAATTGCTAAATAATTTTAATTTTATAAAATATTTATACAATTTCAAACTTTTAGCTACAAGTTCACAACTTTCAGTTTATTTTATTATACATAGTAAAAAATAAAATGAAATGAGTGCATAGTATTTAAAACTTAAAAGATAACTTTTCAAAAATTTAAAAAACATTTAACTTTTAAAAGTTAGCTATCAATATTTTTATTATTCAACATTTAAATTAATTTATTATTCACATAATTAAAACTATAATATGTTAATTTTATTTTCATTTCATTATATTTATTTTTATATAAGTCTTATTTTTCTTTTTTCTTTTTTCATTATTAATGATTTAGTTGTATAAAATAAAAAATAAGTTATAAAAATAGATCATTTAAATTAATTTATGTAATATTTTTTATATCATATGTTAAAATTAATAATTTTAAAAATAAATTGAAGTTATTGTTTGAATTAATAATATCAATTTTATTAATAAAAATATTATATATTATTTTAAGAAGAAGAAGAAGAGTGGCAACTCGATTGGGCAATGTGAAAGGAAAGGGCAAGACAGGTCACAGGTGTCGCCCAGGTTAGAGGACAAAGTGGAAAGGGATGCCAGAGTAAAGTGGAGAAGCTATGTCACAATTTTTTTCACACATGACAATGATAATAATATAACTCACTGTTAACTATGTCACTAAAATAATAGTCTACCAAAGCAATTTTTAAAAAATAAATAAAGGCTAAAATAAAAAGTATGAAAATACAAATATCAAAATGAGTATATTTGTCCCGATATAAACTTAATTTTTAAACAATGCTTGGTTAAATGACCAAAGACTTTTTTTTTTTTATTCTTATCTTATTTAATTCGAAACTTTCCGTTCCTATTATTGGCTCCTTCTAGTATTAAGTTTTTTAAAAAAGTAATTTATAAATTTTTTAAACTATACTAAATAAATCGTCCCTTATCTCTCATTTGTATAATTTAGTATTTATAAAAATTTAATTTATATACTTAAAAATATAAAACTTTGTTGACATTATTATGGAATGGTGAATTATTGTATCAATAAAAAATTTATAATAATTAATATAAAAATTACGCCATGGTGTTTTTTATAAATTGGAAGTATAAAAACTAATTATATAGCAAAATTTAATTAAACTTAAAAAATCTTAACAATACGTTATGTTCTATTTTTCTTTCCCTCCATTATCCTTGAATTACTAAAATTGTCAAAAAGAAAAGAAAGTAAAGTTGACTGAGCAGAGCACGAATGCACCTTATGGACGGTCCTGATTGGCCACAACCCAAAGCAACAGGAAATGTGAACCACGGGATCTGTCAGCCAAACAAAATAAAAGAAAGCAAAAGACACTTAATAGTTATTACTTGTCCTTAGAGAGAGAAAGAAGGGAAGGGTGCGTTTTGTAGAGGGAGAGAATTCCAAACGCAAATTCTAAGTTTCACTGAAGAGAAAAAAAAGTTGTTGGGTGTGGCGTTGGGTGGCTGAGTAGAAGCGGATCGGCGCAACAGATCTGTGATGGAAGGAGTTGGGGCCCGATTGGGTCGGTCCTCGACCCGTTACGGACCGGCCACGGTTTTCACTGGACCGGTGAGGAAGTGGAAGAAGAAATGGGTCCACGTTTCCCCTTCTTCTGCTTCCAACACCAATCACAATCACAGTCACAATCACAATCACGCTTCTAACGGTAATAACGGTTCCCATCTCCTCCTTTACAAATGGACCCCTCTCACCCAAAGCCAAAACTCCAACGGTAACGGCAACGGCAACGCCAAGGACGCGCCACCACAACCACCCGAAGAACAGCCCCGGAGAAAATTCAAATATATTCCGGTACATTATTCCTACTCTTTTTTCTTTTTTTGTTGATTTAGCTTAGGGTTTTATTGCATGGGTTTAGAGAAACATTACGAAATTTCGATATCCTGATAAATTGTCTTCTAATGAGTACAATATCCTGATAATTTGTGTCTTATTCTGTTTTAGTTGTTTCCTTCTTGTCCCCTGTTTTTTAAGCAAGGTTGAAACCCGTGTCCTGATATGCACTCATGTGACTGTGATTTGTCCATTATTGTTATTATTATTACTATTTTAAATTTAGAAGATAATAGGAATAAATGGAGGAGTAATGAAATTACAAATAACTGATTGTTACACGCGTCTTTCAGTTTTTCCTGGTTAAGATTTAAGCATTGGGATTTGGGGATATTACGAGGATAAATCAAATTGATAGAGATTTCAATTGAGTTTGGGCCATATATTGTTCCCTGTGCATGTATGTGTATTTGAATTTTCCAAGATATAGTTTTGGTTGGAATTCACAATCAGATGATCAGGATACTAGGATAGTGCGGGGTAATTATGATTCTAGCACGTTTAGATAAAAAATTCTATTTTTCTAAGTGATTATGAACAACAGAGAAAAGGATGAAAGATAAGAAATGTGCGTATCCTTAATTTGTTGAGTGAAAGATTTTCTCTTGTTAGTTTCTTAGTAAAATACAAAAATGTCTTTTTTAGTTTGGTGGCTTTCTGAATGCAAAAGCATTAGATAGAACAAATTGGTTTTTTTTTTATATTAGAAACTCTCGAGAAAGTATTGGGGGTAACTTAGCGGCTTTGTATTCACACGTCCGTATCTCATCATATGAAACTACCCACTCTGGGGTACTGCTTGAGCTATCAGTTGGTCGAAACCTTGAAGAAAATAGAATCAGGAACCAAAAAATGAAGTTTTAAGATTCTTTCCACCCCTTTCTATTGCCCTCTCTAGTGTCCAAGTTGTTTGTTTACCCAATGAAATTCACTCTAGTTTGGATGTACCAAGAGGGAAATATGGTAATTAAAGATGGCACCTCACCCTTGAGCCAGAATTGATGATAAAATAGAGGTAATTAGTGTGAAAATCTATCAAAAAGTGGTGATAATTTTGTCTGAGGCTAGGATTTAGAAACAACTTGTGATAATTGCAATAGGAATGAGAACCAAAAAGTGTTGGAGACCAGGATCCAGGATTGTTTCAGTGGAAATGGAAAGGAAGGACATATTTGCATAGCGAGATGTGGTCCTAGATAGAGTCTAATGGCAAATGAGGATCCATTTGTTGGAACTATTCACTCACAGTCAAATTTATTTTTAATAATTTGCTATTGTGTTTCGTGCATAGATCCTGATCCTTCTCTTCAACTTCTGCATTTCTTTTTTGTGGGAAGGCTGTAATTCAACTTCCCTTGTTGGTGGATGGGTTTTAGCTAATTATGCATGTGCTTGGGAACAGCTTTTTTTTAGAAGTATATTTTTTCTCTTTTCATGAACTCTCTCAAAAAGCTGGCCAAATAAGCTGTTATTTCCCCAAAACAGAACCAAACACACATACATCTATGGGTTCGATGGGTGATCTCATTTTCTAAAAACTGATTATACCGTTTCATTTCCTGATAAATGTCTGTAGGATTATTGATGGAACATTCTGGCTAAGTGTTGTTTGTCTATTCTAATACGACATTATGGATTATAATGGCAAGACAAGCATAATAATACTATTAAACCATAAACCCCTAATTTAGTCCTCAAATGGCATCAAGTTGGTTCCAGTAAACAGTCACTTCTGGATTAATTTTGATATCAAAAACCAAATTGATGTAGTAATCTTTCAAGGGCCAAATTGACATTCCAAAAATCGTTTGAAGACTAAAATGGGGGTCACTATGCTTTTATTTATCCAGATGCATCTTCAGTTTGTTAAATCTAAAGAATGCAGTTTGCCCTGCATCACTGGTAAGATTTCAGATTGTTGGTAATGATGAAGTTAGCCACAGTTTGGCTGTCAAAAGTTAGCCATTTCCGCTCATTAATGTTCTGGGACATGAATGTTTCCAAGCAACAGTTGGATGCTGATCACTTACTGAGGCCAAATCTATGGAATTGGCCTGTGTTGTACTGTTGTGGACTCGTGGTGTTGCATTTGGTGCTTTATGCTTATTTTGGACATGGTATGTGTACATACATTCTGTAGTCAATAGGTGGAGTTCATCCCTCAACACAAGAATCGCTAGTTATTTTGCTTTTAAATTCACACAATAACTTACGAAGCATCGTTAAAAATTGTCACAAAACTGGTGAATTCAACAGTAATAACTATGCTGGACTAGTCAGAGCTTTTGATCCATGGACCATTGATGAATCATTTCGGTATTCGTGCTTTTGGTGATGATGGTGAATTGATACTGATCTCTCTGTCAATGGTTGACGGTTGGGAAGCTTTGGTTATCTAGTTTGTCTGATGATGCAGGTTGCTGTACTGGAGGAGCAGAGAAACGAGGCTGCAGAAAATGAGGGTGCTGAAAAAGTTGATGATGAATCTAAACCAGTTGATGCTGATTCAAGTGCAGCAGAACCAACACGCAAGAATGAGACGTTGGATGAGAAACCTGACATAAATGATGTTCCAATGGAAGAAAGTCAGGTAAACCTTTGGGTGTCTCTCTTTTTGCTTATGTTCCGTCACATTATCTTCCATATTTCTAAAGTAAGTATTGCCTAGGTTCTCATCTTTCATTTTGAATTTTGAACAATTTTTATGGTTCAAACAGGCATAATGCAATTTGAAAATTTATGGATTGGGCATTATCATCATGAAACTCGGTAATCAACATGTCTTAAATTTGGCGTGCCTGTTACTAAACTTGGAAATCCACAGCAATGACCATTGAAGGACTTGATATCATTTTCTTTTAATAATTTGTCATATAATAGTGACTTAGAGAATTTGGTTTATAACCAAGCATAATGATGTTGTGTAATCAACAGAGCCAATTTCATTGCACATGGGGCTTTTGTTATTGTTTTTTCCATATAATAGTGAATCTGATCTTATATTTCATTCTCAGGACAAAAATCAGGTGGTGCGCCAGGATCTGAATGAAAGCACATTGGATTTAAGTTTGGGCTTGACATCACATGATGACGAACATGATTCTGATTCAAAAACTAATCAAAGAGATGGCCAGTAACACAAAGTGAAGTCAAGTGGTACTGAAATATGAACAGGGGCTTCGTGATTCTCCGGATAGTGAGAGCATAATTGGTTCAATGTATACATTTGTCTGATGGAAAGGAAATTTCCCCTGGCTTTACTGATTGTTTTAGGTTGATGGCTTATGCCTATTGTATTTTTTTTAAATTCAGGTGTCGTTACTGGCCTGATCGTAATATGTATTGCAGGAACAGATGCTATACTTTTTTCCCAATCATTGGGCATATTTTTTTCCAGATGTTTACCAAGATAGGATATTCTGGACTTCGAAGCTACAATCGTGTGGAGCTAAATTGGATTTTTTAAAAAAATTCAAATTACATTCCCGATGAAATTGTGCTTGTGATGCTCTAATTTTTATTACAATTGAATCATTTTACTTTTCGAATTATAGTTAGTACCTAGGTTTCCTCGTGTATCTGGTCTGCCAGTTTATTTAATGTTTTGGTGTTGTGTATAAAGTAAAAAATTGAGAGTCTGAGACCCGCCAAACTTGATAGCATTATTGTGTTGATGACTTCATAATGCTATGTCTGTTCAAGTATTCTCCCCGCTTTAGTGGAATTGGCTTCTCACTCAGATTTGAGATCTAAGCAATTATCATGCGACGTACCAATTTTCATAGAAAAGATTTGATAATATGAAAGACGCCCATTAGGGGGCAGCGGTATTAGGTTGCCCGCTTATCTTGAATCCCTTATTTGACCGCAATCAAACGGTTGGAAAATACACAAAAGTGAGAATACTTTATCAGTTCGAGCCTTGCAAAAGTAGAAAATGAACTAAACGTCCAAAAGAATTCAATTACATATCAAACAACAGAAATTACAGAGTCTGGGCATCTGCCTCCGAGTACACAATAACTAGAGATGTTCACATTTTTCGTCATCATTCTTTGGTGACAGCTGCCTCAGAGGAATAATCATGCCTGGGAAGTAGCACAAGTTGATATATGTATCATGTATATTAGGGTGCCAACAACAATCTTTGCAACAGTACCAAAATATAGCTAAGGTTATCACAAAGCAGAGTTTCATTGATCTTGTAATTTTGTTTCTTCCCTCCCTATTGACTTCTTTAAATTTTGTCGAAAGGTATTTGAAATTTGTTTTTCTGATAACTTAGAAGAAAGTAAAACTACATAATTATTAATAAAAACATGGTGCAGTATATGAGGTTCCCACTATTTTAATTTTAGGATCTAGGAAGAAGGGTCAGATGTATGCAACATTACTCCCAAGTGAGGAAGAATCTCTTTGTGACTAGAACCCATGAACACAAGGTCATGGAGTAGCAATCATTCAAAACAAAAATAAATAATAATAAATATCACTTACTGCAATTTGCGTGAGAGTTGGTATAGGCCTGTCCCAGCCATTGCAACGTTTACACTAAACAGGTTCCAATTTTTCTGCAAAATAGAAAATAATTGTCCGGATTATTCAAAGATTGTATTGTACACAAATTCCCCCCAAAAATGTAGGTTTTCATTTTTCCTTCTCTTTTTATGAGCCACTACGACCAGTAAGCTAAATGTCACTGTTAATAACTAAGGCTATGTTTTGAGCAAAAACTCCTCTGAAGTGAATTTGTTTGTAAAGTAAAAAAGTAGGGGATTATTCACTTTTGAATTTTTATGGGTTAATGTTATTATGTACCTCAAATTAGATTGATGGTAGATAACTCATTACTTTACAAAATCACTCACTTTAGAAGAGCCTTATCCATGTTTTGAATATGTAATTATAGGTGGAATGATATGAAAAGAGAATGGAATATAATAAAATTATTATTCTATCGTTTAAATATTTTATAATGGAATGTAGTAAAGTTTCTATTTTATTATTTGTGAAGTGGATGACATGTTAACAAGACTAATGAAGAATACGTTGATTCCATTGCATTATATAGTCCAGACCTTGAGACTGAGGGCAAAAACATAGATCTATTGAACAGATTTAAACATATTTCATCAGGCTCCATTCCATTCTATCCTATTTTAAACAATCCAAACAATGATAACTAATATCATTCCATTCCACTCCATTCTATTATTAGAACTCTAGTAAGCTTCCAGCTTTTATACAAAGCAAAGTAAATGATTTATATTGTTTGAGGCAGAAATGGTTTACACACACAGCTGCTTGGTACACAGTATAATTCAGAAAAAGGATAACAAAAGTAAGGAAAAAAGACAAAGTGACATCAAAGATTATGCAGAAAAGAATGCCTGAAAAAGCTACTTTAATATCTAACATTTCAATTACACCATGAAAACAGAATTTACAGGTTAGATTCCAAATTGCATATTAGAAGTACCATATTATAGCCTAATTGATGTCATATAATATTTTTTGCTATACAAGTAAAGAAAATTATGCAGCTGCAAACTGAAATAGTATACAGTGATGAAGGAAATAAAGCAAAATTATAATCCCGAGTATAATTTTTGCTTGCACTGGAGGTCCAGAAGTAATCCCGAGTGTCTAAAAAGACATCAATATTTGCTGAACAAGTGACAAGAAATTATCTATCGTTAAGAGAGACAAGACTTACTGGAGTGATTACAGTGCTGTAACGAGACCAGATCAGTCCAGTAGCTGTGACCGCTGTGTAAAAAACAAAAGTAATCAGCAAATTATGGAAAAATAAAACCCAACACAAAATGATACATACAAAAAGTTCTCTGTACCTTCCAGGAAACCCAGAAATGCATATGTGGATAAGGGTCAAATATGAGCACATGCATGTGCGAGAGAGCGGGAGAGAGGTCTATGATAGATAACAGTAAATGCAGACTGCAGTTTTTTATGTATATGCATACCTATTTGCTGAGGATAGGAAAGTTTCTCAGGTGGTTTGGAGAAATCAGCAATATTGGCAATGCTGATGCCCCACTTAAAGGTAGGCGCCCAGAAATGAACTGCATAAAATAATTGGTTAATATTTTAACCCTTAATAATAGCATAGGTCTCTGGAAACACAAGGAGAAACAACAATTTGAATTAGGAGAAATTATTGTCTTACCCTTGTAAAATATAATCTACTTGGTATTGGTACTTTGAGCAAGTGATGTTTCAAAAGTATATCACAAGGAATATATGCATATATATGACTGGACTGCAGTCAATAATTGTTATCTTTCCAACTGCAACTTCAATCATCTTTATTATTCTTTAAATCATATCTCATAATATTACAATAAGAGTATATTTCCAATTCACCAAAAACAGGAAGTGCACTTTCAGTATTTTCACACAAATTCCAGCAAAGATTATACTTCGGCATTTCATTTGTATGCATGAGTTTTTTTTCAGGTGTCTTCCATTTCCCCTAGATGACAAAATATGAACATTAAACTTTTTGTAGGTCATTCATCTCTTTTATCTGCCCAATCCTCTCCTTGTGTTCAGCCTCTGGTAGTAGTTATAAAATTATAAATACCTGTCTGTACATTAGTTGAACCTGCATTGTGCAGGAATTAGAATTTGATTCCAAAGTCACATTTGAAATGGGCCAATTAAGAATGGCTGTGCTAGCACTAGCCACCATTGTGGTCAATCTAATACAATAAAATTCAAACCACAAATTCTTAATTTCTTAATCTTAACCAGCCATATATTCATTTCTGACAATAAGCAAATGAAAAATTTATGTCAGAAGTAAGATAGTAGTTATGGTTCCAAACTTGAGTCATTAATTAAGATAGAATATTCACCACAATTATTTTATGCAGTTCACTTCTGCAGTAACACATTGTATCTCAAAACCTGAATTCAGCCTCAGTTAGCAACTTAGCACCATCCAAATCTAAATAGTTATCCAGAAGTCCGCAGTATTTATTGATTCTAATCAACTTGTCACTCCAAACGGCCCTTAATCTGCCACCTTAACACTTCAAATTACCAACATTTTTCCTCTATGCTCTTGATCTATGATAAGTACTAGTTTTATGATGTAATAAAACCCCAATTCATGAAGCATATAGTTCATCGTGATAAATTAGATTTGGATAAACATTTCAAGCAAAATACTCATGTAAAATGAAATGAATAAACGAATCTAATTTCCAAACAATCACAAATACCTAATTAAAGGTTTCCATAACCCTTCACACAATCACACCCAAAAATGACCCCTTTTAGAGTGCAACCAAAAGTCAAATTCTTTTAATTTTTTATTTTAAAAAATCCTAGGTTATACATCAAGCAGTGAACATGACCTTTTAACAAATCACTATCAGAAATTCTAATCTAAGCAAAACTCTACCGCTAATTTATAGAAGAAAAATTGCGATAAAATGAAAATCAACCACTGAGCTATGAACATCGAAATCGCCAGAAGATAACAAATATATAACAAAAATAATAAAGGATTCGAGTGAAGCAACTCACTGGTTTTGGGTCCAGCAGGGTGATTCCATAAAGCTTGAAGCTTTGCAGCCGCCATGAATATATATATTCTTCTTCCCTTTGAATGAACGAGAAATGGGTTCAGCTTCTACCAGTGCGTGAAAGAACGAAATAGCGTTATTTATATAATATATTATTTTATTTTTATATACCGTAATCGTCTACGATGGAGGATATCCACTCCACAATGTTTGTAAATCACGTCGCGACGCGTGGCTCGGACTCGGTCAACAACTTTCTCACGTTGAGCTAATTTTGTTTGGGCAAATTGGTCAAATCGTAATATCACATGCGAATTAAAACTAAAAATTTTAAACCTTTTTTTTATATGAATTTAGTAAATTTTTATGGTTTATTAGGAACTAATGCACTTTTGAAAACGATTTATTTTACAAATTTGGAAACTTCAAATATAATTGAGACCTGATTTGAAGAGAAGAAAGTGACTATTTTCTCCATATGTCAGATAACTTCTCTATAGATAATAGAATGTGGAAAATGTAATATTTGAGATTTACGTAATTTTGGTTCCTATTTGGTTAAGAAAGTAAACTTAGGTTACACTTACCAAGATAAAGATAATTTTCCATTTTTTTTTTCAATTTCTACAAATCTTTGTAACACATAATACACAAACATACCTTTAATTTAGGAACAAGGCAGTGACAACCTGGTGGTTTGTTTAATTACTCCTTTTTTATTTCTTTTTATTTTATTGAAGAGAATTGTCAATGTTTTGGTACTTGCAGGAGGAGTCATGGATGATGTTGCAGCCTTATCTGGTTCCAGGAAAGACGTTGTCCAAAACCGGGTTTTTTTTTGTTTTTTCTCGTTAAAACCATTGTCTTAAATTCATTTAATTGATATCTGTTTTTTGGGCTTTTTAGCCCTGTTATCAGGGAAAAAAAACATTCAATTGATTAGTCCAGGTCCGTGTTTTCATTTTATTGTTTTGTCAATGAATGTAAAAGCACGTGCACATTGTAAAACTAATCACAATTCCAACCATGTCAAGAATTAACAATATATGAAGATAAATGTCAAATCTTGCATAACAAATTTGTAAAGTCCTAATTTTTTTTCCTTTCAAATATTCCAGCTTGCATTGCGTGATGTAGCCAACAGTGTTTGCGACTATCTATGTAGATGTTGGAAATTGATAATTCGTAATATTTTCATCACTGTTTAATGTAATTTGATATTATTTTTCGTCAAATTCTCAAGGAGATTCTTATATTTGTTTATTTAAATACAGATTATAATTTCTGTTTTTTTACTTTTTACACTGCAATTTTTTTAAGCACACTATGTCCTTTTCTGTTTTGTGCCATTTGGGCTTGCAGTTTGGGCCTGTGGATACGTGGATTTAGAAACAAAAAAAAGAATGAAAAGGGTGTGTGTCTGTGTGTGAAGACTGAAGACTTGAGATGGCTCGAAGTCGAAGCTTTGTTCTATGGCTTCACGGTTTGGGTGATTCTGGTCCTGCCAACGAACCCATTAAAAGCCTCTTCACCTCTACTGAGTTCTCTAACGCCAAATGGTCCTTTCCCTCTGCGCCTTCTGCTCCAGTCACTTGCAATTGTAACTGACGCCTTCATTTTCAACCCCTAATTTTTTCCTTTCTTTTATTTTTATTAATATATAATATATTCATCCATTTCTTCTTGTAGATGGCCATGTGATGCCCTCCTGGTTTGACATTCACCAAATTCCTGTCAAACCTGTGAGTTTATCTTTCATTCTTTAATTTAATAGCCACCTTTATTCTGTTTAAATCATCAGCCATTACCCTTTTTATTTTTATCTCTTACTCAAATGAAAAGGCAAGTTTTTTTTTTTTTTAATGTTTTTCTAGGACTCGGGTGTTTTGTATTTTATCCTTTATTTATTTTTTTAATTTATGTTCACAGAATTCTCCGAGCGATGAGAATGGTTTGCTTAAAGCTGTTAAGAATGTGCATGCCACAATTGACAAGGAAATTGATGCTGGCACGAACCCTAATAATATATTTATATGTGGATTCAGTCAAGGAGGTTTCTCTCTTATTTTATCTGTCTCTTTTGTCTGTGCTTGCTGTGTTTATGTATCTATGCTGTTATCTCTTCAGGCCTACTAATTCCTTGAATGAAAGAAAAGAAAATTTATGAACAATAAGCATCTTGATATTGATCATGGTCTCAATGTTTTGCAGGTGCCCTGACCTTGGCTAGTGTTCTGCTGTACCCAAAAACTTTGGGTGGAGGTGCAGTCTTTAGTGGCTGGGTTCCATTTAGTTCGTCTATTGCTGAACAAATTACCCCCGAGGCAAAACAGGTATTGATTTCCAAGAATATCAATTCCCCTCCTTCCCTCCTTTATTTGACATAATTCATCAGTTGTACTAGGTCCCTTCTCTTGTTTCAGTACTAATTGCCTTTAGATATGAGCTTGAACTTTATCTTTGGAACAAGGGGTTTGTTGTTGTACATGTATTGACAAAAGCACAGAAACGCGTCTGAGAAAATCGTATCTGTGGATTTAAGGGAATGCTTGGAAGAGTTTATGAAAATAACTATTGATTTTCCTAAGTTCTTTTTAGCTTATTTCAGTAAGTTTATTGGTATATCTAATCAAAATAATCTCTTTTTAACTTATTCTAATATGTTTCATGATCAAATTTATAAGTAAGCCTTAATGTGATAAGAACTTATTGAATAAATACTTAATTAGACTATTTGCTTGAACCCACCCAAAACCCAAAATATGCAACTGCATGGATTTTTGTTTTCATCCACAGTTGAGCATAATAGGATTCACGTGTCTTCAATTGGACCTGTGTTGTGGTGATGTAGAATTGTCCTTCGAACAATGACACTTGATAATCTTTAGTTTTTTAATTTTTTCGTTGTAATCACTTTTTGTTTGAAACATGAGCCTGATACTATATATCAATCAACAAAGTATCTGTTGATTTTTAAGGCATTATAATTTGTGTAGCCTGTCTCCAGATACTATTTTACTCAACTGATATATACCTATCATCCATTTAATTTATAGACCTATAAATAAATGTCTGCAGACACCCACATTATGGTCCCATGGGATGGTCGATGGAACAGTCTTGTTCGAGGCTGGACAAGCAGGTTCCTCGTTCCTTGAAAAAATTGGCGTTCACTGCGAGTTTAAGGTGATATTTCAAGTTTTCAACAATTCAATAATTCAGTCATTGAGCCTTTCGTGTTTATCATAATACTAACATTAATTTTAATTTGCAGCCTTATCCTGGTCTTGGCCACTCTATAAGCAATGAGGAGCTGCGATATCTAGAGTCATGGATCAAGGCACGCCTACAGAGTTCCTCCTAATATCTTCTGCTCTTGCAATAGTATTTTTTTATTTTTAAGTTGGTGTTAGTGGCTTGGTCTGTAAGACAGTTATTCCTACTCAATGGCTAAAAGGGGTTAGTGAGAGAGCGTGATGGCTATCTTACATTGCATATTTATTGGTAGATTTAATGGGACAACCTTTTGATTGGTCTTTGCATTCGATTGTTATCAATATTTAACAGGAATAAAAGATTTCTGACCACAGTTACACGTTTCATCCATGTTACCATTAGTTTTTTCCTTTCCTATTTCTCACGAAAAAAACACTACCGATTCTCTCCCCCTCGGTGAATGGAATGATTTGCTTAAAGCTTAAGATATATGCTTTTTAGTTAATTTCTGAAATCATAGGCAATAATAATCATGGATCATAATTATCAGGATCAATAATTTTTTAGCTGAAGTGTAGGTTGAATGTAGGCAACTGGAACCCTCGAATTTTTCTGACATGACATCTGGCAATGAGTGAATAGGTGAATAATTGGCTCAAATTCGCCAAAAATTGTGATACCAAATGGTAAATAACAAAATCTTCAGTAATGCTATTTCATCTCTGAGCTAAATTAACAACTACATATAGAAAAAGTTTATAATGTTCTCACAACATACGGTGGCCCACTGATTTTTACTATATTTGCAAGTTGCTGATGTAGCTATGCAGCATTTTCTTGGAATAATCAGAACTATCTAGATTTTGAGACAGGAGGTAAACAGAATCTTTTATTTTTGGGACCTTTGATCACTATCTATAATACCTAATAACAAATCTTAAGCCTTCATTTGCAGTGTAAACATTTATCCAAAACCGGAGTGCCCAACTTTCCATTTTCATTCTTAGCTCCCCTTATTAACTGAAAAAGCTAGTGGGTTTTTGTTACCTTCTAAATGCTTTTCCTAGCCATCTTTTTCTTTTTGTAAGAAGCCAATAAAGAGGGAGGGTCGTTCTTTGGGGTAATAAAGATAAAGTATCTGACAAATAGCAAACATATGAAATCTTTAACGGAGAGGGAGACAAATGGAATGCATCTTATGGCTATCATGTTGCAAGCATACAAACCTTTTAATCACAGTGGCGCCACCATTTCATTTACCGTAAATAACTCACAAGAGTCACTATCTCACTCATAAAACTTGTTGGTTAAGAGTTTATTTCTAGTGAACCAGCACGTTGTAGTAATCAACGATGTTCCCCACCCCCTCCTGTTATTATTATTATTCTAAAAGTGCTACTTGATTCATCACTATTCAAAATCTTTTAGAGCTTTACCGTATAAATTGTAATAACTATTAAACTCATGTTTGTTTTTTAAATTGCACCGTGCAAAGTGCAAATTTAATTTCACAGTATATTAAGTGTATATATTATCACTCTTAGATGTTTATCAATATTCTCTTTTAAGTGTCTTTTCTCTAAAATATTATTTTTTATTTCTTGTAATCATATCAGTAATAAATTTATTTTACATTAAAAAAATGGAGTGACAATAGACACAAGAAAGTGGCAATAAACACTTTCCATTATCTTTTATATGTTCGGTAAAGTCATTTTACCTCATAAACTAGTAGGCTAAGAGTTTAATTTCACCGGTAAATAAGCATGTTGTAGTAATTAACAATGTCTCCCTAACCCCCTCACCATTTTTGGTGTGTATAAAAGTGCTAGTTGAATCATCACCGTAGAGATTTACAAGATTAATGGTAACAACAATTAAATTCATGTTCGGTATAGTAATTACACTATAGTTTTCCACCTTCAAAACACAGTGCAAATTCATGTAGTCTTTAATAAAAATGGTTTTTAAAACAAAACATAATGAGACAGTTTAAGAAAGTGTTACATTCTCTTTTTACTAAAAGATTGAGCCAAAGAGAAGAAAACATAATACGTATTCAAGTACCATATATTTGGTAAAAATCACTTTTCAATTATTTATGACTAGGTTTAGACAACAAAGGAGATTATTATTTTTTGCCAACTCTAAACATGAACTTGGTAAGAAGGTTTTTAGTCTATAGAGTTAGAAGAAGTCAGACTTAGAATATTTTGTATTGCCTCACAACCACAGTTTTCAATTGACTCTGATTTTGGTAGACTCACCAAAACAACGGAGGGATCGGTCGGTCTGCCTTATATTTTTCTTCAGCTAATATGTTTTTAGTAATACATATAAAATAAATATAACTTTAATTTTATTTATTATTCTAATGTGTTACAAATATGGTAAAATAATATTTTTTTTTACTATTTCCATTATAGAATCTTAAGATAATAATAATAAAACAAATGTTGCGTTATTTTCATATTTTTATTTTTATTTCCTCTTTTCAAAATAGGGTGGACTTTTTGTTGGGATGTTACCTTTTGTGTAGTGTTGTGTTGGAATATTGTCTTGCATTAAATAAGAGCTGGAGGGATCGAAGTTTGTCAGATACTTTTTATTGTCAAGCTTTCTTAGTTACTAAGCATTTGACTATGAGAGTTGTACTCTCACATCTTCCTTTTTTTTTTTTGGTACTCTTATCTTTTTGTGCTCATACAAATTTAAAGCAATATTTGCAGAAATATTTGTTTATTAGTTTATGTGATAAAATTATTTATGGAAACGAGAGCAGGCTTATCATGAATTGATTTTATTCAAAAATAAAAAACTTTTATCATATCACGTAATAAAAATATTTAAGAAATTAATAATAAAATTAAAAATAACTCATAAATTCATTTTATTCAACAAAAGTTAATTTGGCTTAACTTACAAAATGGGTGAGTCAGGTAAAAAATATTTAAAACTTATTTACTAAACATGATAAGATAAAATAAAATAAAATACTATAGAAGTTACATAAATATATAATATGATGTGAATATGACAAACTTTTATCTTATTGTATATTTATTTTAATAAATTATGATAAAAATTTGAAAGTGATATGAGCAACGAAAGTTTATTAGTGATAGTAATTAGTATAACAGTTTATTAAAAAATTTCTACATATTCTTCCAATTTTTTATTATTTATATTTATATATAAAAAATATTTTTAGGTACCCTCCAACGAATTTTTTTTGTTTTAGTTTTCTTTTGCGTATTTCATTATTATTAATATATTATTCTAAAAATTTGATAAAATTATGTATAACTAATATAAAGTTTAATTAAATTATTTTAGTCAATATCTAACGAGTTTTAATATATGGGTTTTTAAAAAACGTGCTACCATTTAAAGTACTTGTTAATTCCCTTTTTTTAATGCAACTCATTCATAACATACGACGAGTCAAAGTAACTCATAAGTTGTGAGTCAATTTTACAACTATATTGAAAACCCATATATAAAAGTGTTAAAATAATAATAATAGATATAGAATTTATTCAAAATTTGACATATGTATGAAAGATAGCACGTGAAATTACACCAGAATTAAAGATGCCAGGACTTGTTCTTACTTTTCATTTAAAATTAATTATTTTAAATCAATTACATATATATTTTTGTTAACTCAAATAATTTCAATATACATTTAAAAAATATATGAATTGATTACGTACTTTTTTATAATTTTAATATTCAACTAATTTTTTTACATGTTAAATAAATTTAAAAATATCATAAAATGCACAATATCCTCACATTGTTAAATATCATACGAATGTCTTATTTCAAATAACATAACCCATCGGGTTTCCACTAAGTTGAATTGTGTATCAATTTATTTGACTCGAGTTTGGAAAACAAAACATGATTTTTTATTTTAAAATTAATAAAATTGTATATTATTTATGATAATAAAAATTAATATATTATATTCATATTGAATTATTATTTTATATATTTAAATTTAATAACTATTATATGAAAATATTTTTAAAAAAAATATTTCCTTTTTTTCCTTCAAATTTTTTTTTTCCGAACAAATTTACAAAAATATTCACGTCGAAGTATAAATTTGATACTGGCCATACACTTTCACGGTTAACCTGAAAAACACGCAATCGAAAAGCATGGCAAGGTGTTGTATATAAATATCAATTTAGAAAAAACTCATTATTATAAATATTGTTATTATTGAATCAAAAATTTTCTATTTTAATAATATTTATAGTAAAATTTAATACTAAAAGTAAAAATATTAATAGTTTGAGTTAACATGTATTATTGGAGTAAAATTTTAATTTTAATTAAAAAATAATACTAATCATATTTATAATTTTTGATCTAAATGCTGTCCAATAATTTAATTAAAATTTTGATTTAAGGTACATTTGAGTAAATAATGTAATTAAATGTTTATTTAAAAATTATTACATGATAATTTATAATATAAATTTGTCATTAAATTTATTAAAATAATTTATTTTAATAAACTGTTCTAAACATGATTTATATTTTTTCAAATAATTTCAAATGTTTTCTTATTCTTTTATTCAAAAAGTATTTGTGAAGGTAGATTCACTTATAAGTTTTGTGTATTTATTGATCCTATTTGAATATTTATTATTAGTTTTTAATTTTACAGAACATGTAATGGAATTTATGCTAATTTAATAGTTTAACAAAATAAATTTATAACCATTACATAATAAATTATAAAATATTAAAATAAATTTTATTGATATCATGAATTCAATCATTATTAAATTAATGAATTATGAATCTATGTTTTTATCAGTTTAAACTTTGATCTAAAATTTAAAAATAATGTCATTATAAAAAAGAGAATATTCCAAGTTAAATGAAAATTTTCTTACCTTCTTACCCATTAATATAATAATTTTTTTTTATATAAATCATGAATATTATTCACAATAATGTGATGTTTATGGTAATAACATTCTAAAATTATTTATTACAATAATAATATTTTAAATTAAAACAATGTATTTAGGTAAGAAAGAATTCTAACACTTTTAACAATGAGATATTTAATAATATTATTAAAAATAAAAGAAATGTTAAAGTCAGAATTAGGGATATTTAGAGTTTAGAGTTAAATTAACTTATCTCATTGGTTTATCTTACTCACCTCAAAAGATAGTTATAATATATTTTTTTAGAAGAAACATTTATGATACTAAAATTTTAAAGAAAATTGATAATATTATTCTATCGCTTTTAATAATGAGACCCTTAATAATATTATTAAAAATAAGAAATATAAAAGTCAAAATTAGAAAGATTCAAAAGTAGTTAGAGAAGTTTGACTCAACTTATCTTATTTATCTTAATAGACAATTACAATTTGAGTAAAAAAATGTTATTTAAAAAGAAACTTTTATGGTATCAAAAGTTTTGAGAGAATTGAATTAAGCTTGAGAACTGTAATATTTTTTTTTTTTCATGCTCAAAGTATGATTAGAAAGAGAAGTGATTCAATAAATAATAAGATTTAATGGTCTCACCCTTCCTAATGATATATAGTATTCTGATAATTTAATTTTACAAGAAAAAACTCATGATTTATTTGTAAATCTTTTTGTTGCAAGTGCATTATTCAATCTAGATAATATCCAACAATCACACTTGAAAATATTTTCAATTTAGGACAATCTATAACAAAACAAGAGATTTTCCTAGCTTTCCATGCTATGCACCCCTACAAGACTCTTAGGCCTAATGAGTTCAAAATAATTTTTTACAACAAATCTAACTTTTCAATTAAGATTATCAGCTTATTTAATCAATAATTTGGAATACAGGTATACAATTAAATTTAACTAAATTATAGGAGAACTTTATACAAGTACATTAGTTGGAAGTTAATTTGACACTTTCTTTGTCCAAAAATATTAAGTTCTTAATTTGACTTATTTGTTGTAATGCTATTTCTACAAATTACTTTGTACTAAGTTCGCTTTAACCCGTTTACTCAAGATGTTACATTTACACTAAAAATACTCTCCAATATGTTAGAGACTGTACGAAAGCTAAGTAAACATGGGTTCGTGGGCGAGTCGAATGACATTAAATACCAACAAGTGGGTTATGACTCAACATAAAAGTAATTCTCTCTTATTTTTAGTTATACTAAGTGGACATTGAAGGTAAAGTATGTTGATTGCATTATTGGAAAAAAAAATAATTTGTAAAATTATGCTTGATGCTATAAATATTGACAATCAATTTTATTTATGTGAACAAGTGTAACAATTTCAGACATGCCTATAGCATTAAGTTTGTTGAAAAGTCAATCAATTTTTTATTTATTTATGTTATTGTTGATAAAAGTGTTTAGAAGAGTCCATTCTTATTAGAAATAAAGATAAAAATTGACTTAAAAGAGCTTATGATTCACTTACAATTTTTTAATATCTAGGTTAAACTCATAGTCATACTTCATAGGTTGAAAATTACTTGAAATCTAAATACTATACATTATTGTATTATTCTAACCTAAAAAATTTATAAACTTTGTGATAAAAATTATTCTACCTTTTTACAAATATGTTAATTTCATTTAAAATATAAAAAAAGTAACTAAAAAAATACTAACAAATTATTGTTAGACATATCTTGCGTGAAGACGGATTCTTTAGATAAATTTGAAACTTTTTTATATTGCATTTTTAAATACTAAATTTCACAATTGATAAATTTGATTTGAGATTATTTCTTTAGATTTATATTGAGAAAATCTCATATTTAAAATTATAATTTTTTTATATTTTTCATTTCTTTGCTTTTCTTTGTCAAAAATATTATATTTATTTTTATAAAAAATAATTTTGCTTAAATTGATAATCATGAAAAAGCTTTATAATTTTTAACATTGAACACAACTATATATATATATATATATATAATTCAAATTAAAAATTGCTGGCTCATACAGTCTAATTAGCTTGATGATTTATTACGATATTAGTATGTATTAAAATTGACAAAAATTATATTTCTTAAATATTATTACTGATGCAAGAGAATTGAAATCTTACACTCGCATTAAATAAATTTTATTTTTCTAATTTAAATTTGTTAAATTCGCTATAACAGTGAATGTACAGATTATTTGTACTAAAAAAAATGCTGAAAGTCAAATATAAGTTTTGCTTTTATAAAAACAAAATATGGACATGATAAATCAACTCTGCTCGTGAAAAAGCATTATGGATAACGATATAGAATCCATATAATAATAATAGAGGTGACAAGTTCATGTGAGGGAGTAAAAAAGTAGTCATAGATTTTATGCATAGGCCAAACCAATCCCACCAAACCAAACCCTAATTGATCATATGACGTACTTGCGGCAGTTGCAGGCGATATTACGAGAATACAACGTAGAACGAGAAGGAGAGGTATTTTATTTATTATATGAATTTATTTTTTATGTTTCTTTTATTAGAAAAATAAAAAATAATTGTAAAATACGAGAATCTTTATTGAACAAAAGAGATCAGAAGATAGATTGTATAATAAAATCAAATACCGCATTATTAAAAGACCCAAACTCGCGGAAGAACAATTGTGATTTTTCTTGCTCGAACATTGGAGAACAGATCATCAAATCCCTACAAATAAAGAGGTTCAAAAACCGGAGGCAGATGAGAAGACAAGGACAAATCAGAGACAGGGGTCCCATGATAGGGGTCCCATGATAAGAGTGCCCGAGTATCAACCTATCTAACAGTTATCGGTAAAAGCATCTCCACATGTGCCGCGTTGCATCGGAACATTTCCCTAACCCAAAATCTACGTTACCAACTCCAATATAGGGCCTAGCTTTTGTGGAAAGTGTTTCTTCATTATTTTTTGGATATATAATAAGTCCCTTTAAAGTATTAAAAAATTATTAAAATTATGTCAAGATAAATTAAATAACATAATAAATATATTAATATTATTTTTATAATCTTTATTTTTATTTATAATCTTAATTTTTATGTATTTTAAAAGTATTCTTATTTACTTATTTATAAAAAATTTAATTTAATATTAACTATTAAAGTTATAATTTTTCTAAGACTATAATATTCACATGACAATTTTTACAACAAAAATTTATAATAATAATTTTCTATCTCCCTTCATCATATCACTTATTATTATTATTATAACATAAATTGTATTTTTCAAAATATAAACATTTCTCTATACAGTATTGGAAACATTAACATTAGTTCTTAAGATTAACGTTAAACAATTAAAACTATAATTTTTTAGTTAAAAAACATTTATTTCATACAAAATCTAAAATTTTTTATATTTTTAATAAAAATACCTATTTTTATACGTTCGAACATAACTCTAACAGTTAAAAGCCTAAAATTAATATAATTATAAAACATTTATACTATTTACATAGTTTAAAAAGTAAAAAAAATTATTAATAAAAATAACTATTAATTTATTATTTATTTTTAAATATACTTTTAAGATATGTAAATTATAAATTATAAAAAGAAATATTAGCCTTAGTCTTTAATATTAAATTTTAAAATATTTTTATACAATAAATATTTTTTAATAAAAAATATTGTTTTAAATATTTAAATTCAAATAAGATAATCGCAAATCATATGCTGAAAAAGAGAAATAGAAAACCCTTGAATATCAACTTAACCCTTCAGAGTCCAAACCATTCTTCTCCCGTTTTCTCTCTCTTTCTGTTCAGCGTTAGATAAGAAAAAGGAAGACTAAGCAAAGCAACTCTCTCTAAAGTTTCAACCATGAAGAAGCGCTACCATAAAGGGACCGTTCATCCGTCACCGCCCCTCATCTCCGACCACCTTTCCTTCCTTCCGGCCACCATCCTCACCCTCACGGTGGCGCTTTCGCCGGAGGACAAGGAGGTTTTGGCCTACCTTATCTCATGCTCTGCCACTCCTTCCTCCAACTTTTCTGGCAACCCACGGCGGAGCACCGCCGTCGAAACCGACCATCCCCCTCTGTTCAGCTGCAGCTGCTTCTGTTGTTACACGAGTTACTGGGTCAGATGGGACGAGTCGCCGAATCGCCAACTGATACACGAGATCATCGATGCCTTCGAAGAGTGGTTGGCGAACAAGGGTGGGAAGAACGGTAAGGGAAAGAAAGAGAAGAGGAACAAGAAAGGGTGCAGTAAGCTTTCGAGCGAGTTGAAGCGGTCCGAGTTGACGAGTTCGGCGAGTAACGAGTCGGGCGAGATGGAATCGGTGGAGGAGAGTAGTGGGAACGGCGATGGCAGTGAAGGTGGTGATGAGGTTGGGAATGATGAGAAAGGTTCAGTGAGAAGGTTGGTGAGTTTCATTGGGGAAAAAATTTGGGGTGGTTGGGGACACAGTGAGTGATGAATCAATTTGGAAGAGAAAATAAGAATGAAGAAAATTAGCTGAAAGAAGAGACCAAGAAAAAAGAAGGAGAAAGGTAGGGTTAGACCATCTCCTTTACTTTTTTTTTTCACCTTTTTTTTTTGTACATTAATCACTACCCTCCAATGTTTAAAGAGAAATGGTTATTTCCTTTCATATGGCCTGATTCAGCATATTTACTCGAAATTTATTATGCTAATATCGTTAACCTAAAATTAAGTTTTGTTTTTTCTTCACATTATCAGTAGTTATATTAGAATTGAAAATTTTGTTTATATCTTTAATATAAATGATTAAGTTTTTACTTTTGTTGGAAAAGCACGACTCCTGTTCCCTGCTATAATGCTCTGCCTCTGGTTGTTTCGTTTTGTGATTCATGGATCATACAAATCAAATTATCCCACCAGTTATTGTTTGGTTCAACTTTCAATCACTGTACCTCTGTCTATCTGCAATTTCTGCCAAAGTGGTGTCTCTCGTAGGGTTAGTTTAATGTCATTGTACAAGTTTATAAAAACAGTTTTTTTCCTTTTTTAATAGAAATTGTTAAAAATTTACTCTTAAACTTTAGGTACCAAACTCGTTTTAGTTGAGCTGAAAACAAGAAAAAAATGTTTCTTTCCTTATTCTAGTATATACATAAACATGGTTCAATCTTGGTATTCATATTATCAAGGAAGAGGTTTGTTGTACGGTCTCCTAATTTATATATTGTAGGTCAAAATTTGCAAATTTCTTTTTTTTTTCCCTACTAATTAGATGCGTAGAATTCAGAATTTGAATTTGACTGGTTTTCGACATTTCAGTGGTTTTAATCTCTCTTTTTCCGTGAGGAAACATACAAGTGAATACAGTCATGGAAAATAGAACCTTGTCAAGTGTGTACGCTAGTATGTATGTATTGACTGGTAAGTGGATATTCAAATTTTTTAAAAATTCAAAAAATTAAAATTGCTCACTTGTCAAACGCCTCATGAATGTTTCTTGTATCTATTTTGGCCAAAATGACGGGAGAAATTGAATTTTCTTTTTAGAATTTATCTAAATGTTTTATAGTGAAAAATAAATCAAAATTTGTGTTTCTTTTGTTTATACGTTTGCTATTCCCATAACTCTGTTTCACAAATTTCAAAGCTGTTATGTGAGAAACAAATTTTTTCTATTCCTCTGCATCTCATTTTAAGCTAACACAAATATGGCATAATAGAACGGGTGTAGCCAGTAGAATTTTGGTTGTGTGTGAGAGATAAATCTTTTGAGTTTAATTTTCATCTCTCATGTAAGAAATTTTAATGTTTTACCATTTACACACTGACTTCATTAAATGGATGTAATTATATTATATATGTTGACATTCAACATTAATTTTATCAAAGAAATTATTAAAAATAAATTTAATTTAATATACTATGAAAATATTTATAATACTCGACTTAAATTTTATAGAAGTTAAAAATGGACAATTGAGTCCAAATATCTTTTTGGTTGGTCTCCACTCTCCAGTCACCTGGGTGTAGAGCCATTTTCTTTTATTCTTTCCGCCACCCCCTTTTAAAAATTTACCCCTCACACCAACTTTTACTTTTCTTTTCTTATTACTTTCAAATGAATTTTAGCAAAATCATACTTTTCTTTAAGACCATGTTTGTTTCACAAATCACAACACATAAACACTTTCCTATGTTATATTGCTGGTATTTGTTGACACGCAACGCAATGTCCTGCCTTTGGTTACGTACTATGTTTTGTATCGTTCTAGTGAATGGATTGGTTGTTTAGTGTTCAAAATATTTATAAATAATTAGTAACATAGCATAGAAAAAATGTTTATTTTATGTTCAAAAAATTAAAGGTTTAGAAACTAATGATAATACAAAATTCACAAGTTTGAAAATAATTTTTGATATAGAAAAACAAATTTATGAAGACTAACAGAAATTATTTTTAAAGCATATTCAATTGTTGTTTCAAATTATTTTGTTATAGAGAAATAATGATTTTTTTAAAAAAATTTGAGATAATTTGTAGTTTAAAAACTTTTTTTTGAAAAGTAATTCCTACCAAACATACATTAACTTTGTATCTAGCATCGAAAGGTCATTAATTTTAAAATGTACGTATTATCCTACAAACAATAAAATTGTCTATATCAGATAATGAGCATTGATGATTTTTTTCATTATCACTATTGCATTCATGTATTAAACGTAGTTATCTTATTTAATTCCCACTTCCAATCCAAACTATCTAAACATTTAATTTTTAAATGCTAAAATTATATGCGTGCCCATTTATTAAACATCTCTTAATTAATAATGATGAAAGGACGATTCATGCATTAGCAACTTTCTGTGCGATTTCAAGTTGAATTAAAGTAAAAGAATTTATTGGGGTATTTCTTAATGATATATACAATGATTGTGCAAAATATCTACTTAAGCTTTGTTAAACAATATATATCAACTAATAGTGAAGTAGTTTGATATTTCTAAGGTATTCCAATATATATAAAGATATCATCCCCTGCAAAAAAATTTAGTTAATATTTTTAGTTGGCTGATTTTAACCTGCCTGAGTTACTAATTAACTTAAAAGGATGTGTCACACGCTTGTCAAAAGAATAGGATTTACCTAACCTCATGTCATCTAAAACTTTCTTTAAGTAAATCTAAATCACATTTAAACTAAAATATAAATATTCAAACTGCAATTAAACCTGGATTTTTCATTTAAAAAGTTCCATGACATTATACAATAATACATGATAAGTTGATAACTATACCATATCCAAACTTTAGCATTTAAATAATACAACTCTTCTCTCTCCTTCTTCGAGATATATACACCTTTCTTTAATGTTAAAAATTATGGATCACTCATCTACTCTTTGTGACAGTTCAATTAGTAAATTAATACACAATCCCTTCTCTAATCTTTTAACATAAATTGCATATATATAATCTCTACAACATCAAGATCGTCCATGAATTTAAAAAATTTAAAAATAATATTTATTCATAAAAAAATTATACACAATAAATAAATTAAATTTACGTTCAAAACATTTGAACTACTGTCATATTCTCTCGTTACATGCAAATAAAGTTTTTTATTTAAATTTTTTACGAAATAATATCTTGATTTCTCACTTTTATCATACATTTCTAATTAGTATATTGTAATTTTGTAGCACATCAGCCCCCTGATGGCTGCTCTCGTGTCATTCAAGGCTTCCAATATTTCATTAATTTTAGTTGTTTGCTGCGCACTTTTTTAGCCTTCATTTGGTACTAATATTAATTTTAGGATATCTTTTATTCTCTTCAATTTTAACATTTGTATATTTAATTTTTGTGAGAATCATTTTAAATATAACTATTTTTTTAAAATTCTAAACTAGAATACTTGCAGTATATTTGTTAACAGTTATTCAAAGAGTCATATTATTTGAACATTTTATCATATATGTACATATTTTCTCTCTGTTCGTTAAAAACTAAAAAAACTGGCTACGGTGGCTGCTTCAGGATTTTTCATAGATAATTTATTATTCAGATCGAAAGCTAGTATTAGTTTAGCTTTTTCTTTAAGGTGGTATAAATTATTTTAAAAAAAAGATATTTTCTATAATTTTATATTATATTTAAAAAATGACATTTTAAAATTATATAAATGATAAAAATATGAATAAATTATTTTATATAACCGAAACAAACATGAGAATATGACAAAAAAAAAAAGTTTAATAACATTAGCTTAGCTCATACTTTTAAATGTTTATAAATGACCCTTAAAAAAAAAGTCAGAATTGAATAAGCTTCAGCTCACTTAAGTGGATCAACTTGGCTAAAATAAAAATCACGGGTGGCTAATTCATTAAGTCACAGAATCGAGAACCATACATGCCTCCATTTCAATGGGAGTGTGGTGCATGTCTTAGTTGTTCCTCCTTCCTAGTTAAGCTTGAATTAACTGTGGTCAACAACCCTATATAAGAGCCAAAATAACGACAAATTTATGGTGGGAAGGACCCAGTCCCAAGTCAAGATTTTGCAGCGTTTGTTGTCCATGATTCCTCGAAGAAAACAGAAACTCATTCCACCGTCCACCGTAAAAAAGTTTATTTTTTTTAATAATTAAACAAATCTTTAAAATAATATGAAATGCAACTTAACGATGAAACAGTTTAAAATCTGCTTTATTTTATACATTTCTTATCTTTATGTTGCGATAATTCCTAGTTAATTTTTTTTACTGACATTAACCCAATCTCTAAGCTCTCACCGAATGCATGTGATAATGACTCTAAAACAAGTTTTTTCCAATCCAAACCAGACGTCTTTGACTTAGTTTTTTATACTTTATTTTCATATAGCCGAAGCCTAGTCTTAAAAGGCCATCCATGTTTATATTGTCTTCATTTGGTCAAATTTCTCAGTCTAGCCCTCGATCAAGTTCGTTTACTCAGCACTCCCGTCAGCTGTTTTCTTATCTCAGTTCCAACCCTACTCAAGTCTAGTCATGATTATGAATCTATGATGTTTTAAAATATAATATATCCTCTTGGCTTTTACGGATTCATCAATGCAATGAAAATAAAAATAGTAAAGCACTTAAAGTGTAGATATGAAAATAGGATGAATTATAGAGGTTGGATTATTTTATGATCGTCTCCTTTCTTTTTCTTATTGCTAAGATATCTTCTTCACTGGCAAATAAAGATACTAAAGTATAAGTTTGTGTCAAATATAACCAATTTTTTTTTACACAAAATCTAATAATTTCATTTTAATCAAATTAAAAAAATAAAATAAATTCAGGCAAAGATAAACTTATTTAGCCCAACCAGGAGTGCTAACACAATCAAAAGTCTTAGAATATATTTGGAATCAAACACGTGGTTTTGATTATGAATAAATAGAAGGCCAATTAAATTTTGTTCCACTTGATGTATATAATTTTGTTTTTGTTCGTTATTAGAGTCATAGAATCGATCCATATTTAAATTTATTGAACTTGTTTTAAATAAGAATAATAAAATAAGCTAATATAAAATCCACTTAACTCTTATGTATTTTAAATGTATTGAACTTGTTTTAAATTGGTTTTTACTTGTTAGTAGCTAGTAACTTAATGCGCTGTAAAGATATTATAAAATTAAAATAATTTATAAATTGAATAATAGTGAATAATTTAATTATAAATATTAAAAAATTAAAGGAAAAACAGTATAATAAATAAATTAATTAATTTTTTTTATAAATAAAGATTCACATTTTAAAAAGTAGAAGAAGTAAATTTCCAATTATATGGATTCAAATCAGATTGGATTGTTTCGAATTTGTAATGATTTCATGCCGCAGGTTTGATACTTACTATATTTCGTGGGCTTGGTGGCTGGTGAAGTGATAGGTAGATAACACGAAAGGAAGATAAGCTGTGGAGTTTGGTATATGTTCCGGCTACGTGTTCATCTTTTCTTCATTTCTTGTCTTCTCGTCCATAATTGTGTGCATCTTTAATTCATTAAGCATTAAGGAGAAAAATGCGGTTGATAACTTTAAATGATAAATAATAATTTTTAAAAACTTATTATTTTTTAGTATGATAAATGTTTTTTAATAAAAAAAATATTAATTTTATATAATAAACCATAAGAAAATAATTTTTTATATCCATTTTGAAATGTTTAAAGTATTAACTTAAAAAAAAACATAGGCTACAAGCCTTGAATATGTAAAATTAAATTTAAAAAAATTTAACATTTATGATTAAAAAATATAAAAAATTAAAATATTTTATTCTCTTTCTCTCTCTTTTCTAACTATTCAAAATTCAAATTATATTCAAGAGTGTAGACTAACTAATTAAATCCTCAAAAATCACATTTAAGTTGTGTGAAAAAATTGTGTAAATCTATCTCATTTATTTAAATAAAACATAATTTAATTTTTTAAATAAAAAATATAAACAATTTAAGTTAAAATTAAAATTAGTTTTAAAATAAAAATTAAAGATATATTATATAACTACTTTTAATAATTTACAAAATTAAAAATTATTTTTATTATTGATGATAAATATTCTATTGTATTAAGTAGAATTAAATAAGATTGATCCAAAAATCCCATTTTATCTTTATTAATGCATTGTGTCAATACTTGAATTTAAATTAAGATTGATTAACATTGTAATAATTATAAAATTCAGTTTATTCTTAAAAAATATTGTGAATTTAATATAATGTATTAAGATTTTATATTAAATTAAAATTAAAATAAAAGGAAATAAGTTATATTTAAAATGAATAAATAAATGTTGAATATAAGATATGTCATGTAATTTAATGGACAAGAAAATAACTATTAAAAATATTTTTATCTAAAAATAAAGACTCAATTTAATATATAAAAATAAATAATTCAATTTAATTGTTCTCTGATACATACTTGTGCAGCATCAACAGTGATAATAATGAGTTAAGAATCTTGTTTGTGAGACTCATATAGGCTTAATTTGAGGCATTCGACAAAGTTCTCAACATCAAAATTCCAAATTTGTAAAAGATTAATCCGAACTCGTAATAATATTGGAAACACAGATTTCATAGCTTAATATGGTATATATACTTTAAGAAGAAAAGAGAGATAAGAATAAAGTTTAGTGCAATTATAGATAGTTGGAAATTTGTAATATGTTAATTAAAGCTTAATACTTAATCATGTGTATGGAAGGGGTTGAAAAAAAAAAGGGAAGAGAGAGAAAGATAATTAAATGTGATGAGTGAAATGACAAGAAAAATAAAAAAAATTTATAGAAATTAAGGGGTTGAAAAATTTAGGGTTATCAAAATTTCGATTAACTAAGGTTTCATTTATATTTATAGTTTAAAATATTGTGACAAGGTGACATTTGAGTAAAGGATGCCAGTGATTAATTTTCTTTTTTAACCCAAAATATGCCAACTAAACTAAAATTAATTATTCATGGTTTCAATAACTTTTTTTGAGCTAATTATTTACCATAACTAATTAAAACTATAAAAATTTAATTTAATACTTTGCCGGCAATTAAATATAGCTGACATGGGCAGAAGCATAGTTCTGGGTAGTTCTCAATTCTGATGGATGAACATTTTGAAGGTACCACGGCTAACGTTGCCTTGTTGTGTAGCCAGCAAGATATTTTGGCTGACAACCACTAATAAGTGTATTAAAATTGTCGAAAAAATTATAAATATGAATTTAATGTAGAATTATGAGTAATAACATTGAAAAAAAAATGTAAATTCATGATAATTTAAACATGAATGCAAACGCACTCTAAATCTAAGTTACACCAAATCTGTGATAACGTGTGATTCTCACATCAGATAGCCAATTCCTCTCTAATGCCAGGTATACATTCTCTAAACATCATCTAATGATCTAGATTTATATTAAAAATTATTTCATTTAATCCTTTGCAGTTAACATTGCAAATTCCTTACGCTTAGGCTAGCAATTTTAAGATGGAAACTTTAAAGACAAGGACAAGGGCATCATAGCAAGTGAGGTTCCAACAAAGTGTGTAGTTTTAAGACTAATGTCAGCGTTCGTGGTAGGTGGAATGTAGCAGTTGCTGATAATACTTTGCCCTCAGGTTGTAATGTTGGGTAGATGGATGTTGTTGCTGAGTTTGCTTAGCCACTGGTTGTTGGTAGTTGGTGAGCTGCTTCAGATTACTGTTTGCTGTTAGTTACACAAGACTAATGTTACTCAACTTTTGCTTACACCCACAATATAGTATGTGTCTTTTTCTTAGTTTATTAAACAATCCCACTTAAACATCTTACTAGACTGAAACGAAACTTGTGTTATTATGCAGTAAAGAATATTTAGTTGTACAAGTCCTGAAAAGAAGGGGGCAAAAATAAAAGAGCCAAACTTGAAATTTTCCTGAAGTACTGTTCATAATACAGTTGAAAGAACATTATGCTTGTATAAACTATGATGGACTATGTATATATTAAAGTAATACAATGATCGTATGGAAGATAAGGACAATTTATATACCTTAATTGTAGGGGGAATCAAGCATGTACAGGTATGGAGGAGCTCATGGATACACAGCCTTTTAGGCGTTCAATAATTACATTTCGGCTTACTAGTCCTGAATGATGAGTTAGCGGTAGGCCCTCTTTCACACACTCATCGTACTTCTCCAAAGTGGACACAATATCGCAGAAATCTGGCCTTTTCGAGGGGTTTGCTGACCAGCAACGCTTTATCAGATGTGCTAGTGCTGGCTGACAACTAGCTGGCAAAGGAGGCCTTTCATTCTGATCAAAATAAATTAATCAGTTTTTAAATCAAAATACTTAACACTTATGATAGTATTAAGCTTTTTCATTATGCTTAAGGCTCGAAGTTAATATTATTATAAGGTGAAATCCAAGGACTTTTTTTGGGGGTTCAAGGAGATGGGAAACGGGATGTGTGCGCTACATGGGAAAGCACTATATATGAGACATTGTGGCTAGCCATGTATTTAAAGTCCAAGAACTACTTTTGATTAATATATGCACCAAAATGCAACAACTGTTGGTCTGTTACATTTTTTAACAGGTTGGGCCATATTAGTGTGTGCTTGTTGGGACTCGAGAGGGAACACCTCCTAGGCCCATGCATCAGTGCTTCCCATTATTAGGACTAGAAGACACAAGCACCGACTATTACACTTTTCAACAAAAAAAAAGTTCACTTTGTTAAAGGACTGCTGATTAAAATAATCCATGATCATTGCTCAGATTTGATTATGCACATGTAACCCAATACCTATCTTTCTTAGTTCAAGTAATTCAGATTTCCATGACTAGAATTCAGGGAATGCTGCCACACTATCAAGTTTTACACCGAGACCTGACTATACAAGCAACTGGTGAGATGCAAGATGACAGTGTATTCTGACTAGTGACTCCTGATAACTACATATGCATGGAATTGGAATCAAGATTAGCAGATGCACACTTTATGCTATATGTAGCCTATGGTAAGTAGTTTGCTACTTTGCTTTCACTGAAGAAAAATTGCATTCTATAGGAAAGTTCTATGACCAAGTAAACCATGATCGTGACACTGAAATCATTTTGAACAATACTATTAGTAGTTACAAGATTTTTGTACTCCTCACCTCATATTTTGAGTAACACTAAGCAATTTGTCAGACAAGCTAACAGAAGAGGTATAAAAGAATATTAGAAATTTTAGCAAAACAAAACTCCCGGAAATTCTTAAAGAAGTTATTTATGGTACTGGAACTATGGTGAGAGATGAGAGTAGATTGACCCAGTTGAAGGAAGGCAACACACTGCCATTCAGTCTAACATCCTACTAAAATGGAGGTGAATATGTAAAACACTAAACGCTACTAGTAAGTCATAACAACAGTGGATGCACTTATCAAAATAGAATTGACATCCTGATTGCCTTATCAGATTAGACATGACGCCCATGAACTGAGGGCTCAACTGCTAGACGAGAAAGATTTTCCGAGTAACCCTGCCTTAGAGACGATTCTCTAACCACTATACAATTAGAGGATTGGAAATTTTTTTTTAAACTTAATTTGTTGTTGTAGCAGGTGGTTTATAGCTTTAAAAGATTGGGTATTGGGAGAGATCTAAACCAAATTTCCCTTTTGGATGTGCGTATTCATTGTATTATTACAGTTGATACTTTAGTTTGTAGAGTTGCAATAGCTGCTATATTTTGAACCTTTTGCATCTATTTACACCATATGTATATAAAACTCAAATAATCACATATCTTCTTAGTCCAGTTAGGGGAAACAAATGGTTTACAAAAGATAATTTCATTCATCCTTATTCAGAAGCCAAACTGTTTCAAGGCAGAAATACCCATATATTTAGTATAATTCTGACTACAAAGAATTTGTCCCATCAATCATCTTGACAATGTAACAACTGGGTGCAAGTTCCACGATCAACTTGACCTACCATGTGTCAACTTAGAAAGAATAATTCTTTACCATTAGGCTACAAAGAAGGTGTTAGTGTACTAAGAAGGAATTTTGTAAAAAAGACTATTAGAAAACCAAGAAAGGATTAAAGAAAAAATTCAAACGAAAAAAATAATCAGAATTGCCAAGCAGTAAAGTGATGCAATCATCTATTTTATGCATGTAGCACAATAAAGAATACAATATTTAGAGTTTAGGCATGGCCATCTCACCTTCTCAGCCACAGCAAAAGCAGCTTGCACTGGGGTCATTCCTTGGAAGGGAAGTAGAGCGGTTGTGAGCTCCCAAAGAACAATACCAAAACTGTACACATCGACTTTGCGAGTATAAGGCTTTTCCTTAATCATTTCTGGTGCCATCCAACGATATGTTCCCATGTTTCCTTTGGTTTCTCGGCATCGTGTTTCAAGACACGATGTGCCAAAATCTGCCACCTTAACCCTCATATCATCATTGAGAAGCAAGTTATTTGACTTGAGATCTCTGTGAATCACACCTTGTGAATGAAGGTACTCCATACCCCTAGATATGTCAAGAGCTAGCCTTAGTATTGTTTCCATAGAAAGGGAGTATGGCTCTTTTTTGTTCAGATACATCCTCAGAGTTCCTTGTGACATGTATTCTGTTATGATACAATACACTGGCGGTTTTTTACATGCTGCAATAAACTGTAAATGTAGAGTGATTTTAAGGATCAGACCCTTATGCACTCATCAATAATCTGCAGCTAAAGATTGCATGACCACACATAAGGGTTTGTCTATGCTACCCCCAATGGAGTAAATAACCCCATAACAGTTGGATTAATGAAAATTTGTCTATAAAACGTTAAATAAAAAATTGATACAATTTTCAATACAATATGTTAACTTTATTAGTCCGCTTACGATGATGTGATGCACATAAATGTTGGGCTTTCCTGATGGTGATGTGGCTTTGTTTTATAAATGTGTTGATGACACTTGGCAATGGTATCAAAACCCTTGGACACTCACTAGGTGTGGCTCACTTGGATAAGATTGCACCTGGAAAAGTAAGCTCTGTTTGGGCCAACTTTACCAGCAGTGCAGGGATTCTAAACTCAATCGGAGTACTTTGCGGCCAGGGCTAAATCATATTGGTCTAACACAGTAACACTCAAAAAGGTAGGATACCTCGTGGCCTTTCCAAAAACCGAAGGACAAAAAGAAATCATTGATAGTACTCATGTTGCATCCCTAAAAAACGGCAAATAGAAAGAAAAATCAATAATTTGACAGCAATTTGGAGTATTGTTAATGTTACTGAGCCAATCTACTTATTTAAATTCTACAAGTCCCTCTTTGCCTCCTTTTCTGTTTCTGAATTATTTCACTTTGACAAACAATACCTGAGCTTAGTCATTCACAAATTCTATCATTATTTTTTTTTTCCTAAAGTGGCAAGTGGCAGCGACTCTTCATGGGAAAAACCAAAACTAAAGATATTCACTCACAAACACAAACTTAGCTCTTGTTTACCTCCAAGTTTCAGACAAAATCCCATAAAGGATAAACAAACAAACTACCATAAGAGTACCTAACACTAACACCATACCTGCACTATGTTATGATGAAAGAGACGTGAAAGTAAAGCCACTTCGGAGTTAAATTGCTGTTCTAGTAAGGCTCTTTTCTCCTCATCCTGCGCTGGAATCCTCACCATTTTGACAGCAACGGCTTTCTGCTTGTAGATTCCACGGTAGATTCTACTGTGAGCCCCAGAAGCAAACTTGTTACCTATGAAAAGCTGTGATAAGTCTGCATTCCATTCCTCTTGCTCCTGCCCCTGCTCCTCCTTTGAAGCTTCCCATGTCTCCACTGAGTCCAATATCATGGACCAAGATTCTGTGCTATCAAATCTCTTCCTTTCCATCTTCTCCTCTTCAGAATCCATTCGGGCCCTGTATGAAGATGAAGGGTCTGGTAAAGATTTACTCTTTGACCTCCTCAAACGAAGCCCGTGGAAACATGACCCTGCCATTGAAGTGATAAAACAAGTGTGTGCGTTTGCGTTTGTGAAACCTTTGCTGTCAAAAGAGACAGTTAAAAGAAGTTTCCCCCCTGAACGTTGGTTTTGAAGCATGAGTTCCAAGGAAGAATGAAAAGTGTGTTTGGTTTTTTATTAAACCATCAAATTGATGAGTTTGCATGTTCAAAGAAGACCCTTTGTCAGCCAATGATTACTTGGTGTATCAAAGTTGTGATGGATGAAAGGCCTTGCAGCATGCAAGAACGAAACAAAGAGGAATGTTGGGATTTCGTTGCTTAAGGAATTGAAGGCATAAAAATGAAATTGTGCTGATGGTAGGAAGAAGAAGGAGTTTTCACGGTTTTTCCTACTAAGATTAGGTTGTTTAGCAGCATAAAGAAGAATTCAAAGGCAAAAGCTTCAAGGGTGTCTCGTGACTACTTGGTTCAAAAGTGAACTAATTATAGCAAGTGAGAGAGAGAGAGATTTGGTGGATCTAATTCAGCTTCCTTGGTTCTGCATTATCATCAATGCTTAGTGGTCACAATACAAAGCGAGGTGACTTGAGCTTTGCTGTTAGCACGTCCAACAATTGGTGCTTTTGCAGTGTTCTCAGACTTTGGATATATCCCCATCCTTGTTGGGGGGACCCAAAAGTTCCTAGAATACAAGTGGCATAGGCGTGTAACGTAACAAAAAGAAAAAACACTGGGCAAGTTTGAAGTGCCAATTGTCAAGTAAAGAAAGAGTTCTTAATTCATACCAAAAAACATAATTTCTATCACTGTGAAAAATGAAGCTTCTCTTCACTGTGATACTTGTATTGCTGGTACTGCATGGTAACCATGGGGATTCTCTTTATTCACAAAAGTTACCCACCGCACCAAATCCTAATCATGCAGTGGATGCATATTTCAAAATGAATATTTTTTAAGAAATAATTGTCACTTTTTAAAGTTATTTATAAAATTTGATAAAATAAGTGTTTTTTTAAGTACATATAATAAAAAAAAATCATTTTTTACACATTCAGCATATTTTATAAAAAGGAAAATAAATATTTATTTTTTAGAGAAAAAGGAAAATAGATTATTTTAAAAAAATACATATAATGTTTACAAAAATAAATAAAAGATTATGTGTGTTTAATTCAATATATTTTGTAAAAATGATTACTTTTTTATTAATTTAAACTTTTAAAGCAAAAATAACTATTTTTTAAAAAAATAACCTCAACTAAACATGTATCAACATATTAAATATATGTTACTCTAAATTATTTTTATTTTAAAAAATTATCAAACTAAAGAATATATATTGAAAATTAAAATTTTACTCCCACTTTTCTTTATAAAATCTTACTGTGAAATATATCCTTAAATAGTAATTGGAGGACCTTGCAATTGATTTTAAAATAAGATTCTTTTTAATGTAAATTTGTTGGTAAAATAAAAAATTATTTATCATTAATTTAACTTAAAATACATGATATAACAAATCTATGCAATTTTAGAAGTGAATTATATATATAACTTGGATCTACGTCAATTTTTGCTATGGAGCATTAGGACAAAAGTTAACACAGTTTAATTTGATGGAGGAAAGCAAGATGTTCTTTAAGCATTTTAATTTCAGATCATTGAAGGCTTGCCCTTGAAGCATTGGTCTGCAGTTTTGCGAAGCAGAGATTCCAAGCGCGGAATCCGATCTTTTCAAGAAATTAAAAGGAAAGTAAAGTTGTGGGATATGATTGAACTAATCAAGTTAATGAAGATCTTTTTTTTGCTTCCTGATGATTTCTGAAAGGAAATCAATCGTAGAAAAAAATAATGAAAAATCAACATAAAAAAGTAATTGAAAGTGATGAATATAAGATCACTCTTTGTATATTTTTCTAAATCTTTTATTTATACAAATAAAGATAAATAAAAGTAGGAAAACTAATTAGCAAAATAAGTTACAACAAAGAATAAACAATTATATTAACGGTAAAAAATAGTAGAGGTCTTTGGACGTTGGATTTGTGACTTGTGTTCTAATACTCCGCCGTAAGTTGGAGGACAAAAAGTATTAAGTACTATAAGCTTGGAAAGGAAAACATGTAAAAGCTTTAGGCAACAAAGCTTTAGTGAAGAAGTTTGTCAGTTGGTCCTAAGTTGAGATGGAAAGAAGATGCAGAATATCATATTGCAATTTATATTGCAATTTGTCTCAAATTATATGATAATCTATCTCTAAGTGTTTAAGTATGTTTAGGGTTTAGACTTTGTTGTGTAGTGTAATTCAAAGATTTTGAAAGAAAAAATGTAGCTATTGAAATTTACAAGTTACGACACATAAGATTTAATATTCAGTCTTTGTAAATGATCTAACTATAATAAGTTGTTTTCTAGATTTCTTACTTATGAGAGTGTCTCTAATGAAGAAACAAAAATCTTAGACAAAGTAGTAACTATCCAAACAACTTCTCTAGTCAGCAGACTAGTCTTGGATTTGAAGGTGAGTTTGTCTTGAAAAAAATAATCCAAGATCAACAGCTTTCTTTGAGTACCCAATATACAAAGTGCTTTTCTATGGTGAGTATAAAATGGAGAATTAAAAATTTGACTCACTTGTTAGGTAAAAAAAGCGATATTAGACTGAGTAACTATAAGATACAATAATCTTTCAACAAGTCTTCTATATAAAAAAAAATTTAAGATTGGTTGGCCATTATTTAGATAGAGGTGAATAATTGGATCTAAATGGGTATTTGTTAGCTTGCAAGTAAGGTAGAATCGTGTATGAGATCAAAACAATATTTGCGTTGTAAAAGAGATATTTTTAAAAAGAATAAACTACTTCAAAGCCTAAAATGTATTTCAAAATGTTTAGATCTTTTATCTTGAAAGGTGTGTCATATGTTCTTTGAAAGAAGTGAATTTAGAGAAGAAATTTTCAAGTAGGATAATATGATCAACATAAACAACTAACTCAATAAAGGATAAAGCAATAAACTTGAGAAAAAGAGAATTATCAATATTAGCTTGATGATATCTTAGACTGATAAAAATAAACAAAGTTTCTCAAACTATTGTATGGTCCCTTGTTTCATTCCATATAGCGATTTAATTAGTTTGCAAACTTTTTAAGAGTGCATACTTGCATACCTTGAATAATAGTCATGTAAATATTTTTTTTTTAAATTTTCATACAAAAAGACATTATTTACATCCAATTAATGTAATTATCAATGATAAATTAATGCTAAAGTCAGAACTACTCTAATTGTGGAAACTTTAGCTAAAGGAAAAAAAATTATCTAAATAATCTACGCATTTGATTTGGTTATAACCTTTTACAATTAACTTAATATTATACCTTTCTATAGTTTCATTTGTGAGGTAAGTCAACAAATGTCTTATATATGGTTTAAGTTCAAGAGTTGTAATTTCAGCTTTCATGGGCTTTCTCCAACATTCAAATTTATTGGCTTTAGGGAATGTTACAGGAGCATTATATACAAGTTGAATTGCATTGATAATCTTAGAGATAAGTAGGTTTATGCTATGATATCATAATAGAAAATCAACTATAGAAAAAAATAATGAAAATTTATCATAAAAGTAATTTAAAGTGGTGAATAGAAAATGACTCTTTTTATGTTTTTCTAAAATCTATGTCCAAATCTTTTATTTACACGTATGAAGATAAACTAAAATAGGAGATCTAATTAACAAAATTAATTACCACGAAAAATGGACAAATGTATTAACTATCATGAATAGTAAATGTCTTTAGACACCGGATGTGTGACTTGTGTCGTGATAATTACAAACATTCTCCATGAGAAATAATTTTATTTAAGTGAAGAATATTAATATTTTAGAATTTTTAAAAAAATATACAAAATTCAAATACAATCTTATTTTTTAATAAAATTAACATGTACTGTTTGAACCAACTATCCATTCATAGTATTTTTTAATTTAAGATAATTTTTTTTATATTTCTAATATTTTACAAACAATTTTTTATTACTAATTTTAAATATGAATAATAAAAATAATGAAAACAACAAGAATCAGTCATCTTTTGAGTACTTCTTAAACAAATCTCTAAAAATAATAAAAAAAAGGTTATAATATAGTATTTTTGTAATGAAATGCTTTAAAATTTCTTGCAATATGTTTTTACTAATTTATTTATTGTTCAATAAAGAAAATATCAAATTCTTAATTTATTTTTAAGATATTAAATATATTTTTTATTTAATGCTTTATAAATATTAAGAAAATTGACAAAAAAAAATTATAGAAAAATATAACATTATTCTATTACAATTATTAGTAAAAATAAAATGTAAATTTAAATATTTTTAAAACAAACAAGAGGAAAAAAATTAAAAGTGTTAAAAAGAGAAAGTTGAAAGAAAAAAAAGACAAGAGAAACATAATACACTCGTACCAAACCCTCTAGTCTACACCACTATTTAATGTTTCTTTCTTGTTGCACAATAAGGCCCGCAAAATAGGTGTCCAATGGTTAGAATACACTGTGGAAATGGCTGTGGTTCTTTCTGCTGTGGACTCATCAGATGCAGCATGTAGCCATGTAGGAGGGTTCTGGTTTTGTAATTCTCCGGACAAAGAAAAACATACAATAGCAGGTGCAACAAATTTTTTCATTTTCCACGTTTGTATATGAATGATCATTTAAACAAAAATCAGAGGGTGCCAAGGTCTAGGGATTTGTTATTTTAAATTGTGCAAGTCATAACAACGAAATAAATTATATGGTTCAAGAACATGTAATCTCAATCATACAAACTATGCTAGATATACAAGTTAAAAGAATTCATAAATGATAAGATATGAGTGGCAAATTATAGTCTCAGGCCACTTAATAATTCCTTCCTAACAATAGATTCAAAAACTTTTGTAAAGTTGTTCCACCAAATCATAAAATTCACCATATTTAACTTTTCACTAAATACTAATACTAATACAAATAAAGAAAAAACCTTTATAATAAACACCAATAAGAATCTCATATACTCACTGTCATTTTGGTTTAGAAGCATGGATTTTTTTTATAAGTAATTTTGTTTGAGTCTAAAACATTCGTAATAAAGTTAAATTTAATTTACACACAATGTTTAAACTAGCGATAAATCCAAAAAATTTTAAGCAAGAGCAACACATATATAGCAATTATAATTTTAATTTTTTATTTGTCACTTTACAATTTTACATAAATTAAAATAACAATTTTAATTATTCTTTTAAAGTTGTTTATCATATCATTCATCTTATCTATTGTTCTTTTAGCTCTTAAATGACAAACACTTGAATGAAAATCCGTTTAAAGCAGTATGATTACTGGTGACGACAATTGCATAGCCTTGAAAAGCTATACAATAGTCAAGAAAAAAGAAGTAATCGTGAAAACAACATAATCATTAATCAATAGTTGTTTTCAAGGAAACTTGATGCTGCTAGAAGGGGTTTCATGCTTACCGTCACATGGGTTTTAGAGT